ATTTGCTAACAGTAAAGACATCCTCTCCTTTTAATTTTTCTTATTTGGCTTTTTTGAGTATAAATTTAAATGCGATAGAGATTTTAAAGCCATCACAAATTACCTCTTTCACCTCATGTGCTTTGAATTGTGCTAATGCTGCACTATTGTAGTTATCCTACGGGCACAGTAGCTCGTATACCATAAATCAAGGTTTCATAAAGACAAACTGAATCAGATACACGATAATGCAATAATCTGGCCAGGAGGGCTCATAAAAAAGATTTTTTGTTTGTCTTTTATAGGCCATCAATAAATGAAAGCAGTAATTGATTAGAAAGCAGAGAGGGGGATATCGTAGGTGGCTCTGATTTATAAAAGGCAAAGGGAAAACTGCACAGTAAATACTGTACTTACTTACATTCATAGAACAGCTTTCTTCTGGCTTTTCATTTAGTTAACTCATTCTCTTCTTCATTCGTGTCTTTTCATGTCTTTAGCTTCACATCTTTAAATCGCAAAAGATTAACATTTCAGCAGTTGTTTGAACACGAAAACGAAATGAGGGGCTTGATCTTAGTTTCTCTCTGTCGAATGAGTTTCTTGCCTGTGGTAGGTCAAGTCTGCGTAGAAATGTTGTAATTAACAGTTTGGAAAGAGTTTTTTCATGTCTAGCCTGTGATTTGTCTGAGGGTATACTTTTTTTTAAAGAAAATGGCTGTTTTATGAATTGTACCGAAGGTTTGATTTAAAAAAATGTTTGCGATAAATGTGTGACTATTGAAAAATCACCCGACACAAATTGCAACCTCATTCTTTAGATATTTCTAAAGAAGTGTACATAAAGAAATTAAAACAAGCTGCGTTCTATTTTATTTTCAAAGCAGGTTTTTTTTCTTTTTAGAGTAATTCTATGCATTTATAAAAGGGAACACAGCTTCCCTTCCCTTCCTTTCCCACAGTCCTTCATACAGCGTGTCTTGTACGTACCATGTTTCCTGGTGTTTTGTACTAGTGTATTAATGTATAACATCGTATTTTATTTGCTAATCAAGCTGATAAGATAAGATCTAAGAGCTTTAATATGGGTTTTGTGTATGACTTGTCTACGTTACTGTTATGCTGTTACAAGGGTTGTCATGGGAAGCCAAACTGCTTCAAAATTGGCCATTCCAGACCTAAGAAACAAGTCTGAAACTGTGTTGGGCTTGTCTGGAATGACAGTATTATTTGGTTGTATCTCACACCTTGTCATGACACATTGCCTGCAGATTCCTCACATGAGCTCCTCAGTGGATACTGTGTGTGAGTGACTCTTATAATGCTTCCCTGCTTTTAATTGGGTTTTTAAAAGGTGCCATGATTAGAAAAAAAAGGTATCTTGTTTTGTGACGTTTGTAGAATTGATCATTTTTGACTGATTGAATGAGAGAATGATTGGTTTGTGTGGATTGGACTTCCAATACTACACTTTTATGTACCAAACTCCCAATTAAAATATCAAAGATATAAGATATTTTTTTCTTTTTCAAAACCACTCCAGAGCTCCAGTACCAGGACAGCCCTCGGAATGAACTCTCAGCTATAAATCACAGCAGATCTGCTGCGCTGATGGTGACCAACACGATGACTTCTCTCTGCCTTCTGCAGGTGTTTCATTCCCCCGTGAGAATAATCATCAATCAGATGGAACCATCAGGAAACCCCTAGGCATCAGAGTCTGGTCTAGGCCCTGTCTGTTTGTTAAGACACAAGGCTCATTAGCAGAGTGAGGAGTGTCTGTGATATTTGTGTATGTGGGGGAAATTCTATAGAGCTATCTTTCAAGAGTTCAGAAGAAAGGTTTTAGTGCACTAACATCTAGCCTGCTGTTGTGCATTAAGGTTGCAATCAATAAACAAGATAAGCATATACCATTAGATACCCACCACTGAGTACATTAGTATACCTAATGGATTGAGTCAGCTGGGGCCTTAATGTTGGTCAGATTACAGCAGCTGCATGACAGATTACAGGAACGAAATTTGTACACATTTGACAAGCCTAATTAACTATCTGACAAGAAATTAGCCACAGACAAATTAAGACAGCTAGTTCCATCTCTCTGTTTTACAAACAGTGTAAATAATTGACGCAGGTCTCAACCTAATAGAACATGTTCAGCAGTCCAGCATCACACTCCATGATGTCAACAGGGAAAATAAAATCACAGATTTTTATTTCCTTTTTGTTGTGTATGTCAGCATAATAAGTTTGAAACTAACCTTTTAATCATGAATATGGTGATATTTTAAACGGTTTTCAGCATTAATGTAAAAGGAAACAAATGAATGGTGTTTTCACCTCCTTGCAACCTGTGTTGAGCATACCGAAGCAGTTAAATCCCAATTCTCCAGATTGCTCTTTAGTTTTTGTAGGCCTCATTGTGCACCAAAAATTAACAAATAAAACCAAACATAAATTTAAACTTTGAATAGAAATTGTGATTTCGAAGGGCATTGTCAACATGCTTTCATTTTCCTTCAGTTCAGTTTTCTCCAATTCAGCATAAAAAGTCACGTGAGGGCATAAGTGCTTTCATGTACAAGATTGTTAGATACAGCCTACCAGTTGGAGATATCATGATAAGAAGACAAGTCTAACATGTATGAAGGTTTCTGGGTTTTATTACAGATACTTGCAGAACTGCATTTTGGCATTTTCTTAGATTATTAGGATTGAAGTGGATTTGGGAATGGGGTAGCTCTGCAGATGAAGAACAGTTGTCATGAGATTGTACTCTCTAGCCTGCATGGAACTCCTCGATAATTCTGTCTTTTGCAAATTAACTGATATGAAAGGAAAAAGTATATTTTATTTTTTCTATAACAATGAGAATTTATCTTGTTTCATGGGGAAAGTTACCTTAAACTTGATCAAGAGACCAATAGCATTTGGAAATAGTCTCAAAATGCTTTTTTGAAAAAATATTTGTGGGTTTCAAGGCAGGTAAGCAGGCTTATTTCTTTTTTCCAGAAGGTAATACAAACACAAACATCTGTTCTACATTTTTTCAGATGTAGAACTTCTGTCTCATAACTACACTGACTCATCCCTACAGTCCTAATCCAAACCATTGAACCATGGACCTATGTAGCTCTGTTTTTTGTCATTGTTTGAGACTTTACGATTTAGCCTATAAAATGATATATTGTTGCCCAAGATCAGTCACTCATAGTTTTTCTGACATTTTTATATATTTCTTCCTTTATTCAGTAGCAGAGTATAACCTTGCTAAAATTCAATTCAAAATGTATTTAATCTTGATTTATTTTATTATTGGAATCTAATATGCTTGGTGATCCATCTGTCTATTTTCAAACCGCTTTGTCCACTACAGAGTTGCAGGGGACATTGGAATTGCAGCAAGCAATGGGTGCAAGGTGGAATACACACCTTAGCTAAATGGGATCCCAGTCCATTACAGGGCACACAGAAAGACAAACCAGCATCACATCCGGGCCAATTTTTCCCAGAAACCGATTAACCTACCAGTATGTTTTTGGACTGTAAGGGGAAACCCACACAAACATCACCCAGATAACACCCCAGGAATTGAACCCAAGACCCCAGTGCTGGGAGTCAGCAGGGGTAACCGCTGTGCTGCCCTCTACTGTACATGCTGATATCGAGAATGTATCTTAAATCTCACTTTTCTCTCGGTTTGTGCAGTTAAAGAATGCATAGCTTAGATTTTATCTCCTATTTGTCTGGAAATCCTCAGCCATGTTAATGCCTCATTAATGACATTACACAGATGCTAATATAATGCCCAAAAAAAGCATTTTCATGCCCTTTAATTGGTGTTGCACTTTTATGAAAGTTCGTTGCTGCTTTCATGACAGCAAGAGAATCTCAGATGAATCACACCCTGCTAGTCAAATGTTAAATCCCAGTATTGTGTTCTGTGATGACACGCCAGATTCTGTTGCAGATCCCTCCTTGAAAAGGGCTGTCCAGTCCTGGTCCCAGGGTACCGGTGTATCAGTTGGTTTTTGTTACAATTTAGCTCTGAATATAAATCAGCTCGTTGGTGGACCTTCAGGTGCCTTAAATAGGCCTAGAAACTCTACAGACACCCCCACCCTCCAGGACCATGGCAGAATACCACTATCCTTGACCTTGGAGCGGCCACTGGTTGAAATATTGTTTGCATTAAATGATATTTAGAGTTGGCTCTTATCAGAAGACTATTCCAAAGTACCATTAAAATTAAGTGATTCTTAGCTGTTCCAGCTGCACATAATGGGTCCCCAAAAGTCACAGGGAGCTCTTAATTTATTGATTGAATTTTTCACTCCACCCCATTAGTCCAATTTAATTTCATTTCTGGATCTTAAGATGTTGGGATCCCTATATTAAAATATAGACTGTTGTCATTAAAAAATCACGTCTGCTGTGTCCTGCCTTGTTTGCTTGTGAATGGCTGAGAAGAGATGACATTTCTAAAGCACTTGGAGGCAACCTGTTTGTGACCGAGTGGTGATGCTTTTCATAATATGAATCTTACGGTAGATGCAACTGCAAAACTTAGAAATCAGGTAACACATACCTCCACAATTTTGGAAGAGTAATGTCAGATGTAATCAGCACAAAACTTGGAAACGGGCAAAAGCAACAAATATAATTGTATTTTTTGTGGTTAGGTGACTGGCCATTTTAAGTGTCTGTAGGATTCCGGTGACAGGGCTGCATTACAAGATCACTTTACTCGCCATATACAATTTCTTGTTTTACGAGGTTTGTCTTTTCACATACCCCAACTTGCTCTCCATGAGACACACAGACAGGGAGAGAAGCTTGGGGTCAGAGCGCAGGGTCAGCCATTTATACAGCACCCCTGGAGCAGTTGGGGTGAAGGGCCTTATTCAGAGGTCCAATGGAGTAGGATTCCTCTGCCGGCCGCGGGATACAAACCAGCAACCTTTCAGCCACAGGCACAGATCCTTAGCCACAGAGCCACCGCACTGCCCTAAATTGTATTCCCTGACCAGGAATCGAACCCGAGCCACAGCAGTGAGAGTACTGAATCCTAACCACTAGACGACCAGGGAAGAGCGATGACAGGTAACTGCTCTACAATGGAAAATCCTATCAACCAACCAACAGTTTTAAGAGACGTCTAATCACAGACAGCAGATGGATTTGAACCTGACTGTCCCATTTCTCCTGGGGGCACTGTGGATGCCCCTTGCCTTTCATATTCTTTGCCCCAGTAAGAGAAAGCTGAGCGGGCTCCTATACCTGTGGACAGCCTCCACGCATTACATTACTGTGTATCTTCACAAGGTGGTTCAAAGGTAACGAAATATGCTCAGTATGTCAGAAAAGGAGCTAATTAAAGGTGGAGGAGTAATGTATACCTTTAAAGGGAAGGTCAAAATTAAGTGTGTGGAAGTGAAGAGGGAAGAGTTTTTGTTCTGGGTGTAAAGTGATAGTGAAGCAGCAGTTTCCTGTAATGTCTGAGGGCTGTGATTCCACAATGCAGCCAGCCCCTGTGGGCAACCCACCTCCCTTTTCCCTCTCGGATCCCCTTTCTGCTGCAGGTGGATCAGACACAGACACGTCTCTAGTCCCTTGCCAGGCAGGGCCACCTAATCCAGGCTGTAAGCCCTTTCATCACACAGCGCTCACAGCCCAGCCAGGCCTGGCTTTCACCCCTGCGGGGCGCGAGGAAATGAAAAAAAGATCCTCCGCTTTCATATTTCAAGAAAGTACATTCACTTCCTTTTGGAGTCCTTTTTTTGTTGTGCTGTTTTGCTGGAGGGGAACCTTTTTGCTTTTTTCTAGAAAAAAAAAACATCTGGGGTTTTAGCGGCAGAGAAAGCCTTAACTTAAAGGTGTCTTTGTTCAAAATAAAAAAAAACTGCATGCCCATAAAATGACTATACATGCTAAACGAATATAGGCATCTACACTGACTGACAGAGGAGCAGAAGATAGATTTATGAGTGTTTTATGAGAAGCTATTGTGCTCAAGGGAGAGAGAAAATATTGATATAAAGCCATATCTGTGTGTATGTTCTTTTTAACATAGACTATTTTTTTAAAGAACCATGTCTTTCAAAGTATATGCTGTGGTGCTCAGGGATCATAGACTGGCAGATTTTATATTTTTTAGATCAATTTCAGGTTCTTTGGAATTCTGTTGATAATAAGATCATTATTCCAGTCGAGCTGCATGCTGGTGTTGATGCCCATGTTCTTCATATGTTGAGTAGCCCTGTGTAATAAGGTGTTTGTTTTTTACAAAGTAAGCTGATTAGAAGAATTAATTGTGATTGTTTTTCTCCATTGTCTGTTTTTTTCACTTGTTTAGCATTGAATTTAATTTGATGAATTTACAATGGAAACTTTCAGAGCATTCAGAGCAAAGCTCTTGCTGTTGATTGGTAAAAGCAAGACCATCGCCAAAAAGATCATGTAAATGTGTCCCTTTGAAGCTGTGTCATGGTAGACCTACAGTATCAGAAGAATTCCCTTTATGCAGCATACTGGATATTATAGATTTTATTTTTATACAGAATCTGTCTGAAAAGTTGTTGTTTTTGTTTGGAAAGGAAAATCTGTAAAGTTAAGAACCAGTTCAGTTTTCAATTTGAAACAATTTTGAGCATTTATTATAAAAATCTTTTGATTTATCACTTTATGGACATAGAAAGACCATTTGATAAAATACAGAAATGCACTCAGTACAGTATCATTTTACAATGCAAAGTCTCTTAATCTCTCCTCTCAAGAGTACTTGGTATATGATAGCATACAAAGCCTCAGGCTGTTTGTAAAGAGACAGCGCTGTATTCTCAAGAGGGGGTTTAAGAAGCCCATCTCTGGATTGACATGCTGTTCCTACTCAGAGTCTAATTACTATAATCACTGTAATGCAAATGAAAAGATCTGAGCCATTTTTTTCAATATACACGTTCATATGGGGAGTTATCGATCACACGCAGTTTGTGTGCTCAATAGTAATGGAATCTCTGTGGTTCCCCAAGGCCAGTGCAGGCATCCCAGCGAGCTGGTTCATTCATTTCCCTGAAAGCCACTGTAAACAAGCAGCCCTGTCCTTCAGCAGGCTGAGCTGGAGGTGCGAAGCAAGCCAGGGAACAGAGAGGTGACAATATAGAAACTGCGCTTGAGGCTGTGTACAGAAGAGCCAAATTAGTCTGTGTGTGAGCAATGCTTATGACTCAGAAAATCTTTGTCAATCGCTCTAAAACCCACTGTTTTCACTTTTACTCCCTTAGGGCTTCACTCCAATAATTGAACAGCTTAGTTAAGGTTATGACTTTTGCTGATCAAACAGTCTTACACTTCTCTGAACAGCCCTATTTAATGGGCTGTATCTGAGTATACAGTTTGACCCAAGTCAAGATTTTTATGGAGGTCTTTGGTCTTTTCATCAAATTCTCCCCCAATCTTGAACTCAAGCCCAGAGCCAGGCCTGTACTGTCTAGACTTTCGAGGACAAGCTACGTAAGGGCACATCTGTCCCAGAGCTAAATGGTCTCTGGAGGGCTGGGGCATTACAAATCACCTGAATTTAACAAAATGCTCATCCTCAATTTATATAATAATTACCGACACTGATTTAGTGGTTCAGAAAAACAATACATGAAATTATTCAAATGGCCAGACATTATGGTGGCGAAGCTGGAGAACGCAGATTTGCAGCCATTCTCTGCCATCTCAGTATTGTTTGCCAGAGCTTAATGTTGCTTTTGGCATGGCAGCCCTTCTCTGTTTTTCTTATCTTCATCTTAGATCCCCCATAAGTGTCTATAACTGTTCCTAAGCCCCTGATCAAAACTTTGTTTGCTAAAGACTTCTAGTCTTTCCTTTTCTCACCAAACAAAGAAACCCTTGACTGTAGCGGGCGTGCGTTTTTACTGGAAGACTGATGTACTTGACCTCCCACACCCTTAGTAGGTACAACCGGGACCATTTACACCACCACCATGAAAGCTGACATTGAGCCTGGTCGCTGCCCGGTGGGAGGGGGCCAAGTTTCGAACACCCACATGGGGAAAAGAAATCCAGTTCTGGTCTGGAAAGAGAAACAGCCAGCTGTGCCCATGTGGTGACCTGCATCCGTCTCTGCACGACTGAGCACAGTGTTCCTGTTTATCCCCAGGTTTGTTTTGGAAGAAACATCATTTGGGAAAACTCGTGACTCAGAACATTTAATTCTACCCCAAACGCCTCATGTGATGACTGCAGGAGCCAAGTGGGCACGCAGGGGTGAAGTGGTTTCAGGGCATGCCAGCTTGGCTCATGCTACCTTCACGCTAGCTCGAGCTGGCCTGTACTATTACTCGTTTTACGACTGGAGCTCCAGTGCTCTGCTTTTCAGACGGTAGAAGATGGTTCTCGATCAACTCATCCACAGGGCTGCTGATGCGTCAACTCCTCTGATGTGCCCACAGTTCAGGGATCTTAAGATCTTTTCACATTTCTTCATATTTAATTTTGAACTTCTTGGTTTCGCCAAACCACAAGGATGACTCTGGATAAAAGAAATGTGATGTATTAGGGGATGTTGTATTAGTCATATAAAAGATTTGGATCGAATTCAAGACTGGGCAAACACCTGTAGACAAGTGCTCTCTAATAGAAAATGGAAAACAGTGGTCTGACAGAAGACACCTATGTACCAGACTGAGTCATGTATGTTGACACAATTCTCCTCCTCTTGGCAATGTCTGCAAGCAAGAATTATAGCAAACGAGAATGTTAAAATAGTCGGGTTTAGTACTAAAGTATAGAAAAGTGTAGAATTTAAATCAAGGTATGTCATGTTAAAGTTGTATGATGTACTTATAAGACCTCATTTAGAATATTGTGTACAATGTTGGTCATCAGGTGATGAAAGAAAATGCTGCTCTGGAATCAGTTCAAAGAAGAGCAAGCCGGTACATTCCCAGACCTACAGGAATGTCTTACACTGACAGGCTTTTAAAGAAAGCAATCTTTTTAACCCTGAACACAAGACCTGATTGAAAATCCACATAGACATTGACAATGTCAATCCAAATAACGTCTTCTGGTAAAAGAATCCTGAAACAGAGAATACAAGTAGAAACTACACAGAAGTGTTAAGCAGCGTAGGACAGAACAGTAGGGACTTTTTTTACACAAATTGTTATGGGAGTCTGGAACAAGCTACCTAGCCTTGTTGTTGAGGCTGATTCCCTGACTTCTTTCAGGAAATTGGTGGGTGAGATCCTTAGATTAATTAGCTACAAGGAACTTAAGAAGGTAGATGAGCAGAAATGTCTCTTCTCATTTGTAAACTTTCTTCTGTGGCCTTAGCTTGAGGGAAAGTGTCAGTCATCGACAAGGATGAAAAGTTATCATAGGTCTCCTCCTGGTGGTGCACTTGTGCATTACAGATTGAAAGTCCAGGCCTTGAAATCCTTCCAGAAGAAACAGTCTTGTGTTCACAGTGGGTGTGGATCCTCGCCTGCATTTTCTGAACAGATCTGCTTACAACAGCGAGGCGCAAAAATGAAACATCTTTAATGACTTTCTTACAAAAGTGCGGTAAATGATTCTACCTGTTCTGTGTTTGCTTATTGTTTACTAAATGTACCATCTTGTAGTGCTTAAAGTGTCAGCACACACACCAAAGTGAGTAAGATGATGCATGAAAAGGCTGAGAATACAGAGACCATGAAACTGTAGCCTTTTTTTTAGTTGAGCTGTCAGTGTGTCGGGCAGTGAGTGCCCGTGGAGAATCAACAGTGCGCTTGTACAGGGCAGCTGTCTGTGCCTGGCACCGCGGTGCCCACTCAGCCAGCCACACAGGTAGCCTGAACTGGGCAAGACTACAAATGGGCATAAGTTTCCCTTTTACCATCTGCCATGGGACTGGAAACGAATGAAGATATTTATTTAAAATAACAGAAGATCTGTTGTTGTTTTACATACACAAAACATTGATTCACCCACAAAAGAAATGGGTTATTTTGTGAGAACTCAACAACTTCACACTAATTCTAGATGAATATACGGTCAGAGGTTTTGTATAAGTGTGTTTCAGGATATTATTGCATTAGAAGAGGGAGCTCTGCTCACTTTCTTGTCCACAAGCCATAAGGTGATTACTTTAAGGAAAAAGCCCAGAAGGGCTGGAACAGGAAGATCAATCAGTTTCTTCATTTATAATGCCCTTTATAGCAGGTTAGAGGGGGTTCTATATCTTAGGTGCTTGAACTGGTAACACAATGTCCTCTGCAGTTCATTGAGATAACAGCCTCAATGAGCTGGCCAGTTGCCTGTTTATTGCTTTATGTAACATTTAAAAATAATTGTAGGTTATTACTTGCATAATATAACATGTGTGGGCTCACTGTCTCATGTAGTGCTTGTCTTGGCTCAGTCATTGTGCTGGGATCAGATAATGATTGAAAATCTCTGTTGTAGTTCCTTTTACAATCTTTAGGTCACTACATAAATTACTAAGGTTTCTAAAAACTAAACAGTACCTTACAAACCTTTTCAGAGGATAAGGCTGATTTGTTAGCAATGTCAATGCATGCAGGGGGTTTCTCTTAGGTCACACACGGGCCTGTGTGCCTTGTTCTGTGCATTTCCAGTGTTCCTTATGTGTTTTTTTGAAAATACCCTAAATCTGAGAGACTATATCCAACCTAGTTTAAACTTCAAACTCATTAAAGTATCCACGACTTCATCTACACCCTTGTGCTATACATTATGATATAGATACTAGTATACTGTAGTTCATGCAAAGAGCATTCAACACCTATTCAAGGAACCTAACCAGAAATAATTTTCAAGCCTAAATCCTGGATTTCAAAGGAAAATGTGTCAATGCCTGGATGATATCATGTGATCATTTAATTACTAACTACCAAATGGGTCTAGGTGAGCTTAATTTCTTCCTGTCGTTTGCAATATTTCTTCTTTTCCTTCACGTAAAGAGAACCGAAAGAACAGGACAAATGTTCACATATCTTTCAATTGTGAGCATTTTGCCTAATGTTATTATTGAGCGGTTTACTAGGAGCAATTGAGATACTGAATTGGCTTTAACCTATGTGGACAAGGCCGAACATACCATACAAGGACAAGACCATTGGAAACTCCAACTAGGAGGAGTGAATCAAGATGATGCAGCAAGAGTGCAGAATGGGTAGAAGTGGGGGTGCTGGGAAGGAGGTGATTGTTACCTGTATTTAAGCTTAGCTGAGCATGGTGGAGAGTTTCTATTTACCCAAATTTACAGTATGAACGATAAGAAGATAGTCATTTATTAATGTGAGGATACAAAGAAAGATTTGTCTGTCTTCAGGATGGCTTTCAATGCTTGTTTGTTCCAAAGCTGAATTTGCTTCCACTTCCATTTTTTTAAAGGACTTGTAAAACTTTAAAGGTGCCAAACCTGTCAAGAGAACACAAAACATGGAAGAAAATAAAGGATTTTTCAACAAATTAGAGCTTGGAGTTTTCAGCTGAATTTGTGAAAAAATAAATAGAAGGAGCACAGTTTTGCATCAGAACAAATCTGTGCTGCTGGCAGGCAGAGCTCACTAGAGACGCCTTGCGAGTATCCCTGTTTAGATATTTTCTTAAAACCTAATTTCAGGTCATAATGTCCAGCAGCTTCAGTGTCTGCGATGCGGCAGGATCAGGCATCCCTGTGCATTGCATTGTGAATGCAGAGAGCACAGCCCAGCTGGAGCTCTGCCAATATCACCCGTGTTTCCCCCAGGCTTCCCCTCTGCAGATTTCTCTTCCCAACAGAGCTGTGATTACCTGGGGACCCTGAGAAAATAGGTCTGGGAGATTTCAGAGAAACTTCCACCAACGCACACACATTGCAACCCCACTACCTCCTCCCTCTAGCAGCATCGCGGTTCAGCTGAGCTGTCTCTGCAAAGCTTCTCCAAGAGGTGATTAATAATTCAGTGTCAGTAGCGTTGCATAAAATCTCCTTGTTGAGCGCAGAGTGCAGTCGCACTGTGCTCTGACAGCTGCACTGTTACTGGGAGCTCGCGAGGCTGCATACTAAACACTGTACAGGCCACCTGGGACTGCCCTCCCTCTCTCTCTCTCACTGTCTCTTTATCTGTCTCCGTCTTACTCTCATCCCTTGCTCAGGAGCACAGCAGCAACACGCAAGTAGTCCTTTCCAGGGAAGAACTGGGATCTCTTTCTCCTCGCAGGAAGCGCGAAACAGCAGGATCAAGCTCTTCGGTCTCTCTCTGCGAGCGCCTCCGCACTCCACCCCCCCCTCCTCCCCCAGTCCCTCGGCGGCCAGAATGTCAAGAGCTGAGTCGCGGCTGCCCCTCTGGGCCACCTTACTTTGCCTGCTCTACCTGACGGGCTGCAGCGGAGCCAGAAGAGCCCCCAAAGTCCCCCGCTGTCCCGCAACCTGCTCTTGCACCAAAGACAGCGCCTTCTGCGTGGACACAAAGGCTATTCCCAAGAGCTTCCCTCCGGGCATCATCTCCTTGTAAGTACCCCGACGCGCAACCTCCCTCTGTCAGCAGACTGGCTCAAGCCCTGCACACTCCTCTTAATGCTGTGGATAAACTTTGCACTTGTTTGTTTTTCTTACTATATTTTCCCCTCGTTTTAAGAAAAGCACTTTTAATTAAACCAATTTGCTTTCGTTTTGAAAAAGGTTCCATTTCTGTCTGTTGCAGGAGGATGGGTTCAATCTTTTTTTTTTGGAATAATGATTTTCAGACTAGAGGGCAGTGCAGTCTGGGAACTGAAATGTGAAATGTGTGTGCTCTTTTTTGGTGATAGAGTGCAATCCAGCTCCACAGACTATGTTTGGAAATATTCCTTCACAGCGGAATTAATTTGGGGATTTATGTATTTGATCTGTTCATTTCAGAACTTAAACATTCAGTGCAGAATAAAGCATCTCTGCTCACACTGTCTTAAGAAAATAATAATACAGAAAAACCTTACCTCTCTGATTACAGGATAAATTAGTTCAGTGCTGCAGGGGCAAAACAATCCGTTTATGGATATGCTGAGATATTCTATTTCCGTCTCAAAGAAAGCAGCATTCTTTTTCAGGTGACACTGATCGGTGAGTTCTGAGCTGCCAAAGATATTGATTAATAACAGTGGTAGAGAACAGCAGAGGTTCAGATTAGTTGGACTGTGGAGGTGGAGGAAGTCATTGATTTTCGTGTTGCAGTGTGGTGGGGGTTTAATCCCCATATTTCACTGACTGAATCAAAAGACCTCAGTGGCCTGTTATGGTACCACAGACGTACTTGAAACCTGTTTGTTTTGTGGGTGTGTGAGAGATTGTACGAATCTGCATTGACAACGCATGCAGTACATGTATATGAGTATGTTCAAGTACAAAGATTTCCTAATATTGACAAGTGATCAATATCATTTGTGAAAGCTAGATTTGTTTTGAAACGGAAAAGAAAGTTAAAAAAGAAAGTTAAAACAGGCTTCGGTTGCTTAGCTCTGTACTGCAGCCTCCCCAGACTATGAATTGAATTCTGCAAGGCAGTGATGCCATGACGGAGATGAAAGAAGAGCCCTGGGACTCTGTGGTCAAGTAGTTTATGGAGTTGAGGCCCGGGCGACAGTGAGGTCGAGTGATCAGAGCTAAGGGACTTGGCCTCCATGCTTAATGTTTAGAGACTTGTGGTGAAATTGCTTCCCGTGGTTAGAGCTTGATAATAAAGGCACGAGTGGAGCTGTGGAGGTGGGAGGAGGCTAAGGGCTGGGCTGGCTGGCCTAGTTTTACTGCTGAAAAACTGGAGAAATTGTCCTAGTGAATAATAATAACCCAGGAACTCAATATGAGGGGAACGATCATAGGAAACTAGCATATTGGTCTTTCAAGTTCTGTTTTAGATTGCTCACAGTCATCACAAAGTAGACCGTATTGTTCCTTGTGCCCGAAGTTCTGATATTCTCTGTGCTTCTCCCTGTGCAGGACAATAGTGAACGCGGCCTTCACGGAGATTCCTGAGGGTGCATTCTCCCATCTCCACCTGCTGCAGTTCCTGTGAGTACGCCCCCCGCAGTCTTCCTCTCCCCCTCTTCCACCTGCACAGCTTCCTGGCCTGGCCTGCTGGAGGGCACGGGCTTCACTGGTCCCACATTCAGAAGGGTGGAGTAGAGAACATCACCCATGCTCGCCCTGTTTCTTACTAGACATGTTTGAAACACTGTCTGTGTGAGGACAGTAATGGAAGATCTGATTGCGTTAACTGGAATCAGTCTACAAACATGCAATTCATTGTATGTTTCTGTATATTATAAAAACATAGCAGGGTTACAAATGGCAGGAAGACATCTGGACTATCTAGCCCGTTTGATATTTAGCTACGAAAGTCTCCTCAATGAAGCCAAGGAATTGGCTTCAACAGCATGTTTTGGGCAGCTTGCTCAGATCTCTCACAACTCGTTGGGTAAAGATGTTCCTTCTGTTCTCAGTTATAAATACATGTTCATATACAGTAGCTTCTGCTTGTGTTCTCTGGCTCATTGATTCTGTTCAATCTGAAGAAATCCATTGGGTCTTTCTCATTGCCCTTGATGTGTTTGAATACTTGTATCAAGCCTCTCATCATTTTCTTTAAGATTAAAAAGGTTCAGTTCCTTCAGTCTGCCAGGACATTCCATTAAGTGCTGGAATGAATAACATGGTGAAAAAATTTGACCTAATATTCCAAACTTGTGCTTAACTTGTGCATTTTACAATTTTTAACATAACATTTCTTGATTTAAATTTTGCTCTTTTAATTACATACTGTATATATCCCAATATTTATTTTGCCAACAAAATGCTAGCAATTTAATTTATTAATTGATATAAACCTTGTACCAGTTTCTGAGTTTCAGAACTCCCAGGTTTGTGCAATATTAACACAAGATTGCTTTGTTATAATGATGCAAAGGAACAAGTAATAGGTTTATTCCATGATGAAAAGAGAAGAAAAGAAACAATGTTTCGGCTGTGGAGCCTTCTTCTGGTGTCAAGAAGAAGACTCCACATCTGAAAGGTTGTGTTTCCTTTCTTCTCAGCCGCTGCTGGAAATTCTGGATGTTGACATTGATAGAAACAGCACTCCTGAAGTGGTGTATTTTGGAAACTCAGGACTGAATCCAGAAACATTTTCAACAAAACGAGCGGAACAATTAAAGTAATCGATTAGAACTAGAGATGTAGAGGTCAGCTGGAACAGAAACCACAGACTCAGTGTTCCTCCTGGACTGGAAAACCACTGGTTTAGAAGCACACTGTGCATATTTTTGATCAGGAAGTTGAGAGTGTTTGGGGTGAGTCAAAATATTTTAGACAAGGTTTAAAGAATGTTAGTAGAAAGCATCCTTATTTTTGGTATCACAGTGTGGTATGGTAGCCTGTGTATTAAGAGTAAAGGGAAATTGCTAACAAAAAATTGTGGTAAATAATTGGTTGCCCACAGAAACAGCTTAAAGAGTTGTAGTTCAAAGGAAAGCTCATCTTATCGTTGATGACCCCTTCCACCTTCTTCACTCCCATTTTCAACTGCTACCTTCAGGGGGGAGTTTTAGAATGCATGTGGCAAAGAAAAATGAATACAAGAATTCATTTGTTCCCTCTGCAACCAGTATGTTAAATGCAGCTTAGTGACTGTTTCCCGTGTGAAGCTATCAGATTAACTTAATGATAGTGTGGGCAGGGTGAGATGTGTGTATGTGCATATGTATGGTTGCGTGGTTCGTACTATTGTTTCTTTTCGAAGTGTATTTATTTTACATTGAGGGTGTCATGTAAATGTTGCAGAAGAGAAAAAGGGATAGGTGCTTTATTGCTTTAGTGCTTTAATAATGATGGAGGGACACAGACTGGCTGACATTAACATGGCTTGGTGTGTGGTTTTGGGATGTTATTTTCTGAAGCTATGCAGTATGAAACAAGGACTGATCGATGGATTAGACTAGTGAGTATCTGATCAAGGGGCAACCATGGCAAGCCAGCCATTAAAGCATTTGTGTTTTTTCGATTCAATGCACAGATACTCCCTTTAATGAACCTGCTGTGCTGTGCTTAGGAGCAGAATTGTCACGTCTGTGTGAAGATAAAATATTACATTCCTGCGCATGCTTTTAATGAGAGCCAACCACATCTTTTGTCTCTGATTTCCAGCTGAATTACTGTCTGTCTCAGCACATAGCATGGCATTTAAAGAGGATGTCTTAGTTCATGCTGATTTAAGGGCTTGTTTTCGTGCTGTGTGTGTTTTCATGACACAATACCTCCATGTGACTTTTCTTTAACTGGTTCTGTACTTGTATTGTATTGTGAGTGGCTGTTTTGGGACAAAAGGACATCTTAGAGCAGAATGAGGGTGAAATGGCTAGCAGGGGCCGATCTTGTGTGACTGTGTTAACAGTGTGCCACAAGGTGGGGTATGATGCTCAATCATTATTCTTACCATGCCCTTCCTGTCAGTTAGGTCAGAGACGTCTTTTTGCCCCTACTGTTGCTGGAATAGTTTTAAACTGGTAAAACAAAAACATAAGCAAAAAAAATATATACTAGGCATTCACGCAGAGGAAATATTGTGTAAGACGTTATGCCTCTGATCACAAATGAAATGTCACGCAAATAGAAATATTAGCTACTCCGTGTCCTATGTCTTTAGGTATCTTTCCTTCCTCAAGTACATGTTTAGTTTTTAGCCCCCTTCTATGATTTACCATTTCCATGAGTCGGGAGTGGGATTCAGGGTTTAGTTCAACTAAAACATTGCGTTCGCTCTGGGAAATGCACTGGCTAATGTAGCGTTTCCTTCCAATAAACACTGATCGTCCTCTCATGGACAGCCTTTGATATCTTCCATTCCTTGGTGTGACTTCCGTCTAGCAGCAACACTCCGTCTGAGTGAAGAGGGACAGCTGTGCACTCAGTACCCCAGATGTGTGCGTTTTCCAATATATTTTGCATGGCCACAACTTATTATTCTCATGCTGTCTGCTTTATCTGATTATCTATGCAGTGCGCAGTTTGTGGTCTCTACAAGCTTCTGTATGCTAGAAGAATATCTAATAAATGAATGAACTGACAGGCCTCCTCTGTTGCATATTGCATATTACTCAGCGTCCTTAGAAGGTCAGGTTACAGGACGTACCTCACAGCTTCACATTGGACATGACCTTCAGATGTGCTATAGCTGAAAAATAAAAAGAAATTAATTAAAGGCAAAAAATATTCAGAATCACAACATTCAAAGGTATCTACACATTATACACAGGCTACAGCTTTGATCGCCCAGAAAACCATCCAATATTGTTTCTCAAAGGGTTTGTCTTTGTCCTGTGTTTTCTGCTTTCTTGTCTTACCATGGTCTGATGCTCTTATTCTGAAATGGATTTATCAGCTCATGAAAGTGCCTCATATTGTCAGACATCCCTGGAGGCTTTGAAAAGAAAAGTCTAAAGAAAAGGCTGCCTGACCCACAGGGAGCATGAAGAAAAATCTAATTATAACAGAGAGGTCTTGATTCCTGTCTGAAAAAGAAGCACACAATATAGCAGATGTGTATCCATGAAAAATAGTTTTTGACATTGAATGAGTTTTAAACTCATTCTGAGTGGCCTGTGTGAAAAACGATCTGAAGAATCTAAATGGTACATCTTATGAGACCACAAAAATAGCTTTAACTATTTATGTGCCTTGTATTGCGCAGTGCACAGGCAGAATAGAATGAGCACCTATGTCTTTTGGTCATATTTGGGCTGCTGGTGCTAGTGTGATTCGGCTCACTCATTAATCTCATTAATCTCTCATGAGTGTGGTGGAGGAAAATTGGTAATTAAAAACATATACATCTACCTTGCACTTCGACCATTCTCTATTATTCTTATTGGCATGAGTTGCTCACTAAATTCTGCACATGATCACTGCCTTCAACAAACCCATGTGAGTTATGTAATGAGCACGCCATACTGTACCAGCACTGCAGTAACAGCCCAGATGGGTGACCAATGTCATTAAGATGCCAAGGGTGCTAACAGCATTCTGCCAGGTCAGCCTGGCTCTCCTGAATAACGCAGTCCTCAGTGAACATTTCTAAATTATTACCTATTTTTATACCCCACTTTGCAGATCCTCTCAATTCAACCTGGCCTCTGCAAATCTAAACCTGCAAAACATCTCTACAGGGAGATAAGTAAGGGCCCTTCAGATAGCAGCTGAACCATTTAATGTCTCATGCAGATAAATATGGGAGTTCCATAGTATTTTAATGTAGTTCCTCTTGGTGATAGCAAAACACACCATTATTGAAGCCAACAGTACTGAAAATGAGAGAGACAGCTGCCGTCTTATTAGTTTTGTTATTTCGTAGTTCACCTGTCAGACACAATGTTTTTTTTACAACAGAATAGATTAAAAAAGTAACCCATTTTATGGCAGAAAAAGCTGGAAAATGTTCTCAGACACAAGAAGGGTATATAACACACACATGGTATTCTCCTGAATTGTTTGTGTGTCTGTTCCTCCCTGCAGGCTACTCAACTCCAACACTTTTTCCATCATTGCTGATGATGCCTTTGCTGGTCTTTCTCATCTCCAGTACCTGTGAGTGTCACCGCCAGAACCGCCCAGACTAATCCAATCCCTGTCATGGCTCATGCAGTTGAAGGTGCAATACTGCCACATGTTCCTGTCACTCAAGACAGGACGTTTAAGTTTCCCTGAACAGAAAGAATGGAATTGCTAAATGAATTTTAAATGTTGGTTAAACTGATCTTGTTTCTGAAAGGCAGCATGACAACAGTTTTACTTCGGTTCAAGAATAACATTTTTTTTTTGAGGTGGCCATAAATTGTGAAATTCAAAATAGGTAATTGTGCCAACAAGCAACTATATAAGTTTAGCAGAGTGCTCTTTAGTTGGATTACAGATAAGTAGTCAAGGTGGTGTGTTCAGCACAGACAGGATTCAGCCCAGTGATGTTGAGCCAGTGACTCAACCACAAGACAAGCAACAAAGTCATGTCCTGAATTAAAAATACTCTTTCTGTGCTATGGTCTTTTTTTTTTCTTCATTACACCATTATAAAACTTTTAATGGAATAAGTTCTCAAAGGTGAGCCAAGAAGCATATTTCATTCTACTGCCCAGCAAAGCTGACCAGGCCTTTTTGCTAATTAATGGATGTGTAGAAATATGAAATCACCAGTGACCTCCTTTTTATAAGCCAGTGAAGAAGATGAGTACACAGAAGCAATGCTTTTACTTGCATTAAGTGATTGGGTAATGCTGTCCTGAGCTCAGCTCCAGTCCTCAACAGCGGCTAGGCTGTCTCTGCTGTGAATTTTAATTAATGCAGAGCAAATGTATAGTCCTACACCTTCCACTGCGGTCTAGCTTTACATTGTCAAATACAATTAACATTTCAACTGTAAATTTTTTTATTCAAATTTTTCATTTACTTTTTAGCTAATTCTGTCACTCTTTATTTTGAGGGAGCAGAGTTTTTGTTGTTGGTGTTGTCGTGTTAATTCCAATTTAAATTGACTAGAAGAGTCCAACACCCTCTTTTTGTGTCTATTACTCTTGTGTTCCCCTCTGGCTGAAATTTGTCTTGGTTCATGTCATTCACAGGTTCATTGAAAACAATGACATCCAGGCCCTGTCCAAGAACACGTTCCGGGGGCTGAAGGCACTGACTCATCTGTAGGTCTCTGCACACTACCCACACTCCTGTTGTACAGAAGCAATTTTTAGCAACATTTTAGGCCAAGCCATAAGAGCTTGCTGACTTAGAAATCTTAATGCATTTATATCAGACTGGAATTCTTCCCATTCTCTAGTTGTCTGCTGAGGCAGATGAACCATATTCCATTGCCATGGAAACAAGACTTCCGAGATCAATTTGATCACTGTTTAATGCGGTCATTTGTTTAAATCAGGAACATGAATTGTTCATTTGAATGCTTCCAATTTCTTTCCTATTGCTTGCTGTGTCATGCAATTCTCTGCTGTTGTTTTTGCACAAACATCTCACTGACAGTTGGTCTCACGGCAGAGTTCTTGAATGTCAAAAATGCATTTTTGAGGATTATTGAGCGGTCATCGTGTAACCATGCCTGAGAATTCTCACCTTGGTCTGTTCTCTTCACAGATCCTTTGATTAATAAATGGGAATCGTATAGGCATGCCTTAGAAACCTAACTGGTCTGGTCTGCTCACTTCACAGTTCTCTGGCTAACAACAACCTGCAGGTCCTTCCTCGAGACCTCTTCCGCCATCTTGACATACTGACTGACCTGTAAGTTCAGGCTCCTTCCCCTTTGTGTCACTGAAGGGCTCTTTCTGGATTTAAGACTCTAGGAAGAGCTCAGAAGAAAGTTATGATTAAATATTCACAGTCACAATCAATATTTCCATACTGTTTAGGATGAAAGGCAAACTCTTCATCACAAGAAGCCTGTAGTAATCACTTTTCTATTATTTTCTTCGTCGCTATGATTTCTCACAGGAATAGCAAAATCAGTGAATTACCTAGCATGGGTTTGAATGGTTTCTGCTGCAGATCATAATTGTTTTTTGAGCTGAAGGGATTGAATTGTGGAAACACAATCATCTACGGATAACATGATTTTAATAAGTATTAAATAAAACAGCAGGAGCTGTTTTCCTGGAACCATGAAGGTCAAAAATGTTTAGAAGATTTGCTCAGTCAGGAGTGGAGTTAAACTAATGTTACATACAGCAGATTGATTTGTGACTTCAGCTCCACAATTTGTAGGGGAATCTGCGGCTTGTGGAACATGGTTCAATGCGGTTTCTGTCTCCTGGTCAGTGACCTGAGAGGGAACTCGTTCCGGTGTGACTGCAAGATCAAGTGGCTGGTGGACTGGCTGGAGAAGACAAACACCACGGTGCCAGCGATCTACTGCGCCAGCCCTATAGAGTTCCAGGGCCGCAGGATCTCTGACCTCACCCCCCGGGACTTCAACTGCATCACCGCAGGTCTGTGGGCAACAAGTGGTGGGAGCTGCTGGTGAACTGATTTAAAAAATCCAATCTTTAAGAACAGGCATCTGGAATTCTAGTGTTGACAATTTAAAGGGCTTACTCGTTTTTGAGCTCTAACTGGCTCAGAAGGATATGTCATTTACTTATTTTTGCAGGAACTTCTCATTTACTCTTCAAAGCTCCTTTGACACATGCAAGACTGCATATTGGTGGTTAAGGTTCTGGTCTCCTAACATGGAAGGTTGTGGGTTCCAATCCCAACTGAGACCCTTCTGTGGTACCCTTGAGTAAAGTGCTTTAATTGTTCGAGTGGAATCCCCATGTATATAAATGGGTGCAAATGTAAGGTACTTCTAATAAAAGTATCAGCCAAATGAATTATAATAGAATGAAAGTAGTTCAATAGTGAGCAGTTGATTTATACGTCTTTTGAAATGCAGTCTTCCAACAATAGTTTCTTATCATCCTCCAGACTTTGCCGTGTATGAGACCTTTCCATTCCAGTCCGTATCGGTGGAGTCCTTTGAGTATGCTGGAGACCTCTATGTGGTTTTTGCACAGCCTGACACTGGGAACTGCACCTTGTACGAGTGGGACCATGTGGAGATGGTCTTCAGGAAATTCTACAATATCACCTGTAAGGGTTTACTTTCAGAGTGGGGAGACTTAGTCAACAAGCACAAGCATAAAGAAAAGCCAGATCTTTTAGTTAAAATGATCTTCCCCTTAGGTGTCACAGTCTTGTCTGCTTTAACAAACACCTGTCACCACCTATCACGACATCTGCTGTAACAAATAACAGAAAAAATACAATGCCTCCATTTCTCCTGATTCCTCATGGCTCTAACCACATCCTTTCTGCTGCTCTCTGTCTTTTCAGCAACCCAGTTCTGATCATTAGCCTTTAATGACTCCATCTTGACTCTTCAGTTATGTCAGCAGAACTGCATGGCCAGCCTCTCTGGTGATAACTTCTCATTTAAATAATGAAATCACAATGAAATCGTACCCCCTGAATTTCTGAGGTACAACAACCATGCTGTATCCCTTACTCCTTATCTCTAGCCACACACTAGTCCTCTGATATTGCCCTCTTAACTGTCCCCTCATGAAGACTACAAACAAGCAGACGATAGCACCTTCTCCTGCTTTGCCCCTAGACTGTATAACTCTCTGGCCGGTGAATTCAGGAATTCTGTTTCTTTTCATTTGCCTTGAAACTGGCATTTCTATTGATTAAGTCTGAGTGGGGAGCTGGGAGGGCGTGCATTGGTTACAAAGGAAAAAATAAAGTGTGTTTCTAGAGGCAGAGATGCAAAACACTACATTTCAGCCACTGATCTTTTTCATGCATTACTTTCCAGCTTCAAATTAACCTTGACCTATTTCTATAGATTATTTGATGAACATAGTTTATTATATAATGATGTAATTTGTATTGCTTCTTTTGCTTATAATTTATATCTTCTCCCTCTGATCTTATTGTACAGGTTATGAAAGGTGTTTCATAAAATAGTAATTATTGTTATAAGCTGCTTCCATTCTGCTTACTTTCCTTAAAGTTTTCAAATTTTACTCATAATGAAAGCAAAAGCCTCCCCAACACCTTCCTCCCCTCATCCACTCGTGCAGGTAAAAGCACCAGCGAGCACTCTCTTCCTGAACTGGTGTAGCTGCTTTCAGGATAATGGACTGTGAGTGGTACTCGAAGGGTAGGCTGTGTTTTCAGACTGGGTCTTGGTAGGCTGTGTGGCAGACAGATGGACGAGCCCTGTGGATTTAAGAGCCCTTCTGTAGCGTTGATTACACTGCTTAGGCAGCCTTTTAGCCTACTGAAGCATGAGCATTAACCTCTGAGAGGAAAACAAATCTCTGATCCTAAAGATGCACATAACAGAGACATGAATTCCATAGGCAGTTCATAGAAATATCTGCAGTTGTTGTTACCAGTATTTCAAAATATAAAAACTCACTAGGACAGTATATACATGCATATTATTTAAATATCTACAGTACAGTGTGCTTAAAATTATACCTTATTTTTAAGGAATTGGGCTAAACTCCAAATGATTTGGTTCTAAATCCTTTAGGGTCACGTGAAAGAATGGATCCAGCGTAGGTATTTACAGTTACAGTAGAGGTGCTCAGCTTTCACAGCCCTACACTGACTTTTTTTTATGTGATTCCTTTTTTCTGATTGCTCCGGAGAGTTCTCCCTGACCTCTGTGTCTGTGTGTGTCTCTCTCCCAGCTCGCTCGGCAGTGTACTGCAAGCCTGTGGTGATTGAAAACACTCTGTACATGGTGGTGGCACAGCTGTTTGGTGGCTCACACATCTTCAAGTGAGTGTGAAAATATTGCCTTGATCTTGTAAAGAGTTCTGTGAACCTCCCGAAGTGACTTGCTGGTTTTAGACAAAGAGTCTATTAATTAAAAGCCTTGAATTTGTGCTACAGCAGTACTGCAATCCAGAATCTTCTTCTTTGCACTTAGTGCTTCCCAGCAGTTTGCAAAACAATCTCTCTTATGTTCTGGCCCTCAGAGAATCTTCTGAGCTAATGAAATTCCCTTGGCTATAAATAAGATGTTTTGCAAGACATTTTTAATCTGATGATTAATCAGAAGAACTTGATTAAAGACACAGTTTCAGGAGCAGTGAGGGTTGATCTGGGGTCCAGCAAGTAATGTCTCTGTTGATTGGGGATTGGGGGTGGAATGTGAAATTACTGCTGGGTGGGGGAGGGGACGCAAAATTTTAAATTCAGCACTTCTTCAAAGGACAAATGCTTTTTGTAAATGGCAATAGTATTTTTATTTATTTATTTTTTGTAGAAGATTTAAAAAGGGAAAACGTCCGTTTGTAAAATGGGCTACTTTTCTTATGAAAGGGAAAGGTGTTCCCAGCCATTGGTCCTTAGATTGAGCCCTGGTCAAGGTAGTATACTAGGTCCTCAAGAGCAAAGTGGCACAGCTTTGTCTGGTTTAATGAAAAAGGTTGGTTAAAAGAATCAGATCGTGCTTTAAATGCAAACCAGAGCGTATTTGGAATTGGTTGCTCTCCTAGGGATTGAGATTGATCGTGAACTTGTTCCAGACAGTTTTGTAGAGCTGTACCCCCACTTCTTTGAGAACAGAACTCCCTGATCCTCCTCCCATTCCATTACCTGGCAGGTGGGAGAAAGGTCCTCTGAGGTTTGTGAAGATCCAGGATATTGACACCACGCGCGTCCGCAAACCCAACTCTGTAGAAGCTTTCCTCCTGGAGGGAGACTGGTTTTTTGCTGTGGCCGACAGCTCTAAGGCGGGTTCCACCAGTCTGTACCGCTGGAACAGTAATGGGTTTTATTCCCACCAGTCCCTCCACCCCTGGCACCGGGACACCCACGTCGAGTACCTGGAGATAGACGGCAAACCCCACCTCATCCTGTCCAGCAGCTCCCAGCCGCCCGCGGTGTACAAGTGGAATCGGGGGCAGCGCCAGTTCGCCTTCCACTCCCAGATACCCAACGCTGTGGACGTGCAGATGGTCAAGCACTTCCGGGTGCTCAAAGACCTTTACCTCTGCCTCACCCGCTTCATCGGGGACTCCAAGATCCTGCGCTGGGAGGGCCAGCGCTTCGTGGAGATCCAGTCCCTGCCTTCTCGGGGTTCGATGGTGGCCTACCCTTTCGCGGTGGGCCCCCGCCAGTACATGGTCCTGGGCAGCGACTTCTCCTTCTCCCACGTCTACCTGTGGGATGCTCTGACCCAGCGTTTCCAGCCCTTCCAGGAGCTCAATGTGCGGGCCCCCCGATCCTTCAGCTTGGTCTCCATTGACAACAAGAACATCCTCCTGGCTGCCAGCTTCAAGGGCAACACCTTGGCCTACGAGCACCTGCTGGTGGATCTGAGCGCTAAGTAGAAAGTGCCAGGGAGGAATAATCCCACTTCTACAGGTTGGGGGCTTGAACGATATGGGTCAAGTCTGGAGTGCAGGGGGGTCTTATTCGCCATCCAAACAATCCCCAAATCAACCCCATGCGTTAATTAGTTATACCGTTCTGCTCCAATGCATGTTTACAGGTTACAGGGCGGCCTTTATTTATTTAAGTGTTTTTGATCCAGAGCAAAAGCTTCACTCCTCATGATGTGAATGCCAGAAGGAAAAATGCTACACACTATTAAATGATGCACTGTATCAGAAGGTAAAATGTTATTGACTCATTGCACTGAGAGTTAATTTTACAAAACACTAACAGAGGCCTTTGCCCACTGGATACCACAGGATTTCTCTTGATGAAATGCTTTGAGAGTTTTGCCAGTATCAGAATGAAATACTAAGGAAACGGGCAGTTTTAAGCTCATAGTCCCTTTCCGATCCACACTTTTTTCATCTTACATACAGTATTGATGGAATTACCATTTAAAAATTGCCTTTACAAATTAAACACAACCTATTTGTTTGTACTAAACAACCAAACTAATGCTGCATGCAATCTACTGAATTGCACAACGTGCAAAGCTCATTAAAATGATATTTTGTTGCAGAAGAAACCCACCGAAGAGAGAAATTGTGTAGAAAGGTACTGTTACACCATACAGAAACCTTACAATGTGCCAAATTAACTTTATGACAAGGTACACAATTGTCAGGAAAGAAAGAAGGTGTAGTGTATAGCTATTTCTAAGCATTATCTCCTTTGCTTTTTGTGATACCTTACTTTGAATGTGTTTGTATGCCTTTCATTGAGTATAGAGCAAGATGCCGGAGATTCACATGAAGGAAAAATCCTATGTCACATGTAGCTGCATCTCAAATATAACCCTGTTATATCATTGCTTTGAAAAGGATGTTTCTGTGGTAATATACTGTATATTTAAGGCCTTTAACTATTTTATTAAAAGCTGTTGGTGTTTGTTTAAATTACTGACATCTTTCTAAAATGCACAGAATGATGGTTACTTTGTAATACAATATTTATTGTAATTGTAGTGTTTATTGGAAGGCCATTCTTCAAAATGTCTTGCATGAAGACATTAGATTCAAGTTAAATGGCATTTCTTTCATAAATTGACTTGAACATGTATCTGTTAGTTTTTAAACCACCAATTTACAGTAGGTGTTAAGGAAGAGGTGGGGCTAATTTAAAACACTAACCTTTTTAAAGATATTTTAGTTTCATTTTTGGAAAAGAATGCCAGAACACTAAAGAAGCTAATGATAAGAAAAAATATGTCACTGTGAAGAATAACTTTAAAACACTTTTTAGATTTGTGCAAAAACAAAATTGCCAAGGTCTGCATTCATTTATAATTGTAATTTATTGACTGTTATAAGCAGGAGTATCAGGAACACCTTATCATTTGCATAGACAAAGAGTGAAAAAATCAATTATTTTGATTAGTTATGCTCGGTATACACTCTATATACATTGCGAAATGTGATTGGTTATCATCCCTGTGACACATCCTTATTTGAGAAAAAAATGTATATGTGATGGAAAGTGTATTTGAATTGGAAAGCAATTTATTACATCAACGAAGAATACTTTAGCACTCATGAGATTTAAACATCTAATTGGTTAAAGCACCTCTATGAACAAAACAGAAATTAAAATATTGCATCTTAAGTGATGTGATCATGACATTCTGTAGTAGATCAGGTGGGCAACTGCCTCAGAATGCATCGGCTGCAAAGGAACAAGTAATAGGTTTATTCTATGCTGAATAGAGAAGAAAGAAAACACAACGTTTCGACTGTGGAGCCTTCTTTGGGTGTAAGAAAGATAGGACTGCCCTATCTTTCTTACACCCGAAGAAGGCTCCACAGCCGAAATGTTGTGTTTTCTTTCTTCTCTTTTCAGCACGGAATAAACCTATTACTTGTTCCATGATATTCTGTATCTGAGATTACTTCCCAGCTAACCTAACTAAAACCACAAGTGACAGTTTTCACTTTTTCAATTTGTGAAATGTGGTTTAACAGCAGTGCTCTCCAGTTCACATGTAACTTACATTGTTTTTCCCCCAGGCTCTTAAACTGTTCACCAGCAACCTACAGTCTCACAGTTAAGGACAACTCTGCCTCAATCATTCTCTCACTCACTGCCAATTATTATATGTGTGTAACCAACTAAGTGCAATAACTTATCATAATAATACTAAACTAAGAGGCTTCTGCTGAGCCCTAATGAATAACAATGAATTTTCTTAATCACGTTACCTTTCTTTGTATGTGTTGAATAGCAATATGTATTAGTTTTACATTACTGTCAGGAATATTAACTGTTAGTTGTTTGCAAACCTTGCAAAATATGAAATACTGTAAATATAAGCTAATCGCACTAAAGAAAAACTCTAAACATGAAAATGTGCTCTAAATGTACAAGTCCTGAGATTGACTTTAGTATCATTTTGCCATGTTTATGATTTCTAAGCCTCTACAGTATATAATTTTTCTGTGTACATTAGAAATGTGACTTATTGTATGTAACCTTGCAGTAGATGACAGGTGGTGATTGTATGAAGATGTGTTCTGAACCATAAAGGGTTTCAAATGGGGGTAGAGAAGGTATTTTGACCAGAATTACACATTTGTCGCAGTTTGCAATTATTCAGTGCCAACGTGTAAGGCTGACCTTTACCCTTGTTCCGTGTGTGAGAAAATACTGATTGCCAAGTGTTAACTGTGAAAAGTAAAAAGTTACTGGCCCTTTTAAAACTGCTTACAAATCCACCAAGCTGCGATGCGGAGTTCGTAATTCTTTCAAAGGGCTGTACGGTGAATGTTCCCTACTGAATGTACTGTTCCACAGAGGTGAAGAAGGAATGAAATGGTACATGTGTGTTATAAATGTTTGTGCCAAAGCAGCCTGTTGCCACAGCTCTTGCTTCCTGTTATGTAATATGTGGTATGGAAATGTACCTGTATATTCCCATGGTAAGTGATTAATAAACGTAGGCCCTAACTAAGCTGCTGGCTGTTGGTGTTGAATTTTACACCGGAGAGGTCCTTTACTGTAGACGGGCAGGGGAACATCAGTGGGCACCTTCTCACTTCTGGCGAGAATGTCGACTGAGGAGACACGATCCACAGGGCTCAGTGCTGAGGCATCAGCCTCTGATTGGGTTCAGTATGGGAAAGGGGCACTGGGCAGTGACATTGAGACGTGTTTGTCTCCTGTTCCCTCTCTTACACAACAGGACTATAGATTTGACACTCCAAACCTTATGTCTTCATAAGCATTACAGCTCTTAATGACCACTTGCTAAGATTAATGTTTAATAAACTTAGAATCCGTACCTTTATCAAATATGAATATTTTTACCATCTTTATTGCTCTTAACAAAATGTCATTTAAATGTCAAGGGAGTACAAGGGAGTTTCTTAGTCATATCAATACACACAGGCCCACAGTAAGGGGTCTGATCCAGGAATCCTTTGCCTGGCGGTACTCGGTTGTGTTAACTCCGAAATCCAGCATTCTAAGTAGGCGCGAAGTCACATTTTTTCAATAAATAACTCGAGTTAAATAGATATCTCAGGTCTTTTCGCTTTGTAGCTCGTCTGAACCGTTTGCCCCGAGTGCGTTTGCGCAGCAGCCACTGTTGCAACGAACTGTAACCTCGGTGGGCCGCAAACCATCGCGCTACACCTGAAGACACACGCACTGCGTTACCTGCCTGTGAGGGCTTCTCCGCAGTTCATTAGCCTGCTGTCAGAATTGTCACATGACAATAACAAGTCCACGCGAGGCACAGGCCGCAGTGGGAGCGCGTGAGAAAAGTCCCCCTCCTCTCGGCGCGTTTTAATTGGCTGTGAGCTGTAAACTCGCGAGGGCCCCTAAGGGAGCACTTTGCCGCTATTGGTTGAGAGTCCTGTCAGATAAACAGAGGGGCGTAATCCGTTTACTTTTCACAACCGGGTTGCTGTAGGTTATCCGCTTGGAGCAGTCTCCTGAACTCAAAATGCAGTGACTAATTTTTAAATATTTCCAGTCTGGTTTGAAAGAAGGCCAATTAAAGACGCAGAGGAGGAAAATGAAGAGCACGTTCACGTTGTAAGCCTTGATTTCAAAATGCGTGACTAAACGTATACACGGAAATAACATTGTAAGGTAAGAGCGTGGGGGTTGGTTGGATCTGTCGATTTTAACAATGTTGCATATTTTCGCAAAGCTCGCTGTGGTGATTTCAGCTGTCAGACAACGAAAAAGGAGACTGTGCCCTGCTTGTTAAATAATCTTAACCTAGAAGGACACTCATTTCATTTTCTTCAGTCTGTTTCATTACGACTGATATGCCGTCTAGTTTACAGCTGATGACTGGGCGCTTTTTGATATTTACTTCCTAACTTTGTACCCACCTTACAGTGTGCTATTTTTAAGTCACTAGCTCCATTAGAACCTTACGCACTTCACTGAATAGTTTTAGAAAATACGGAATGCGTGGTTCTGTGTTACCAGCAACATTTGGAGGACATACTTTCGAAACAGCGAACCTTGATATTTCGTTATCTAAAACTGAGATGCTTTATTGGTTTAAACCAGCTATGTGCAATACTTTACTTGCAGACTATTTTTTCTTTGTTTTCATGGCGTCGTTGTGATTAGGAGGCGACATGTCGGCCCCCCAGCTACAGGATCACAGCGATGTGTCCTCCGAGTTCCCCCCGGAGTGGGCGGACGACGAACGCATGGCCTTCTTGTTTTCAGCGTTCAAGCAAAACCGGGAGGTGAATTGCACGGACTGGGACAGTAAGATGGACTTCTGGGCGCCGCTGATCATTAGCACCTGCCGGCGACGAGGCGCGGTGTGTGTCACCTTGCAGGAGCTCCATCAGGTCTTCCGGAGGAAGGGTAGTGTGCCCCTGGGCCTGGGCATGGTCATCCAGAACATGGTCAGGTACGCACCTCTCTGCACTCCCTGCTACCTCCGTCCGTGTGGCTCTGTGTCCCAGGACCTGTCTAACTGAGACATACAGTTAGTAGGGATATACTTAAAACTATTTCCATCGCTATACAGAATCTAAAAGATCAAGGTAACCTCAGTTGTCATCTCAAGGCAAAAACATTTAATTCATGTAGCCCAACTGATGTTGTCAGGTGATTTTTTTTATTCCTAAAGTTTGTTACAGAAATAATTGAGCATTGGCAGTAGAGTTATTGCTATGCCAATGCTGTGTGTCTCTTATGAAAATAAGGACGTAAGAATGGAGGAGGCCATTTGGCTTGTTTAGCATGTTGATGAATTAATCTAAGGCTCTTATCCCGCCATTTCTAGACAGAATTTGCAGTGTCTGTTTTAATATCATGCATGGGTGGCCTGTTTCACTTCTCTGGGTGAAAAAGTGCCACCTGTTCTTGCTTTTACCTTCGCACTGTTTCCACTTGAGGCCTCTGGGTCATGCAGAATGAGCACTGAAAAGCAAAACAGACACTGATATAGGCGGCACGCGTGTGAGCTGTGTGGATCCCTGACCTCCTGTGTTCATCGATGTTGTGACTCTCCCTGTAGGCGTGGCAGGCTGCAGAAGGAGTCGGAGTTTGCCGCAAATGTGGACTCTGGTTGGCTGTCCTGGGGGGTGGGGCTGCTTCTGGTCCGGCCCCTCAAATGGACGCTCTCCACACTGCTGGGCACAAACCGTGTGCCCCTGGAGGAATCCTACGTTGTGATTGAGCTTGTTAAGGTTTGTCATCGGCTCCGACAGTATCAATTTCTCAAGCCTGTGCTTTTCAGCATTCGTAAGCTGTTACAACTCATCACCACAAAATGAAGGACTACACGGGCACCATAATCAAAGAGAAGAAATAAAATGGCCATTTTTAAAAAAACAGCTCAACTTACTAAGAATAACCGTGACTATATTTGTAACCATCGTTAGGTCACATTGATAGCAAGGCATTTGCATGGTGTAGGAAATATAATGTGCTTGTTGTTTAAAAATAAACATCAGTAAGTTATGTCTTGGTCAGCTGCATTTCATCTTGGATGAATAGTAAGAGGCAACAAAATAATATTTGTACAATGGAAAAATAACAAAGACTCATACTTTTATAAAGTAAGACTAATACTTTTTTAAAACTTGTTTTAAAATGTAAGTTCTCAACAAGGGGTAGTTGTAGGATGTTGCAATATATTTCTAGGAGCAACACACAAGATCACGAATACCACATCAGTGACATTGATAGTACTGAAAAAGTTCCTGTTGATATAATAAACTAGTCCATTTCTGGATTTTTAACTGAGAAGCATTAAAATGTTTAATTCTCAATCTTGCTATGTACTCTAAATGTTTTGTTAATTTTGGCTTGTAATAAGTGAATGGGTTAGGTTTCACTAGGTGTTGTAATTTGTCTGAAAAAAGTGTAATAATAATAATAATAATTGCTTACACTTATATAGCGCTTTTCTGGACACTCCACTCAAAGCGCTTTACAGGTAATGGGAACTCCCCTCCACCACCACCAATGTGCAGCATCCACCTGGATAAAGAGCTACTTAATGTTAAACCTCTTGGCAATGGTGGTACGTTTTGCAGCATGTATATCCTAAATCTCTGTGTGTCTTTCAGGAAAAAGCTGCAGAGCTACTGCGGGTGTACCGGAACTCCCCATTGGCCGATCACGCTCTGCTGTCCTTCCAGGATATGCGGACGCTGGCGGCGCATGTCTGCCCTGATGAAACCACCCTGTGCTTGGCACTCCTGCAGCTCCAGAGGGAGAAGCAGGTGACAGTGTCACTGCATGAAGGAGACAAGGTCATGATGCTAATTATCATTAGTCATTTAGCAGACAGCTTTGTCTAGAGTGATTTATTGATATGCAGGTGAATTCTGCACCTGACACAGCTTTCCTTAAAGAAGGTCAGAAAAGAAGGAAGTTCAAGAATGAATCTGGACAGCACACAATGCGAGGCAGGGCTGGCAGAGCTCAAGCCATAAACCTTAACTACTCAACCACATAGACTCACAGGATATAGCGGGGGCAAAGATTGCTAAAACCATTTTACTTGTTCTATGGATGTACAGCGTTTTTTCCCCAATCTTACCCATGCTCTGGCCAAATATGGTACAATAAGTAAGTTCCTAACTAAGTTTAGGGGGTATGTGGATCAGCTGGTGAAGCATACCTTTGGCTGGTTCAGTCAGATGACTTGCTGTGCCCGTGCTGTGTTTGTGTCCAGATTGTGAAGTTCTCTCAGCCTGGGCAGGGGCGGGTGTCTCCGGTCAGCGATGTGGACCTTGGCATTTACCAGCTGCAGCGGAGCGAGAGGCTGCTGGGGGAGAGAGTGGAAGCTCTGGGGCAGGAGGCGGAGAGGTGAGGTCGCGCAGCTGGCGGCCGCCACCTTGCAGGAGCTTTTCATCCAGAGTCCTCCCTTCTGTTACTTTGACCCCCTTTTCCTACAAGAACCTTATTTCCTTAACATCAAAAGAAAAGTTAGAAACGAGCAGGCAATTCAGCCCATCTTGTCTGTTGAGTTACAAGTAGTTTAGCTAAGGGAAAGCACTTCAAAGAGGTGATGTTATTTTAAAGATTAGCTATGCATGCACTATATAGATCACTTTAACTAATGACTCTTTCAAACTATCTCACCCCCAGATTGAATTTTAAAAAGTAAGCCTTTTACAAGTAGCTCTAATGGATGACTATTTCCCAAGTACAGACTGTAATGTTGCCCAGGAGTTTAAATGATCCAGTGCTTTAATCCTGATGTGAGTGTGTCTGTGCAGGTGCAGAGAGGAAGCTAGGACACTGCTGCGTGAGGGGAAGAAGACACAGGTACAGGGAGCATTTCAAACTACGGCATCCCTGAATCACTCCGACTGTTTTAACTGAAATCTGTATTTGTAGATGATGGGGTCATTTTACTGTTTTTTTTTAATCAAAATGTTTCCTATGGGGTGTCAAAATTGGTATAAAAAGACTTCTTTTTAGATGAAAAAAGGGAGCAGAAACATTGGTCCGGATGTACTTCCTAACATATGTTGAGGTTTGTGTTAACCCGTTTACTATCATGAAATATGTACATTATCAAAGAAAGGGAAAAGGGTGTGAAGATCACTTTTTGGGGGAAGATTCAAGACAGTGTAGCACAGTGTCACCTAAAACTGCTCAAATGTCAATGAAAATACGTATACCGATCTGTAAATTACTGCCAAAACGTTCAGCCTTACTGAGGTTGAATAAAGAGCACAAGTAGCAACTTGCATTTGTGAGCTTAAGGAGATCCATTAAAAAGCCCAGCTGAATCTGTGGCGTCGCGTCTCGATCGCAGGCCCTGCGGTGTCTGAGGGGGCGAAAGCGAGTGGAGAATCGAGCAGACCGGCTGCATGCCCAGCTGGATACGGTGAAGGCCATCCTGGACAGGATCGCACACTCCAGCACTGACCGCTTGGTGAGTTATGGACCTGTACTCGCCATTGAAATGCACAGTATTTCCCACTGTATGTATTAAAAGAGGAAGTGGTGTTTGTGTGCAGGTGATGCAGGCGTACCAGGCTGGGGTGGCAGCTCTCAGACTGTCCCTGAAGGATGTGACAGTGGAGAGGGCAGAGAGTCTGGTGGACCAGATTCAGGAGGTGAGGCTCTTCTCTTCCTGATGAGAACCACACACTGAAAATACAGCTGAATCTTGACTAGGGGGAAAAAACGAGAAAATCACAGACAAGTAACGAAGGTTTTCATGAGCGCAGTAGGCTGAAATCTGAAAATAGCTTTCAGCTTAAACATCAATCACGTTAAGATAACAATTCCTCTATTCTTTTATGATATGGTATTGTTGCTGTTGCACTCTAGAGTAAGGCATTTCACGTAGTCTTGCTGTAAATAACCCACTTTGTTCTCAGTTGACTTGAAGTGCTAAATAAAGGATTAAATTAATTAACACCAATGAATCATTTCAAAGCATTCTGAAATAGAATTAATTTTCTTTACTTTTACAATAGCAGATACACTTGAATGATGCATTGCATGAAACATCCATTAGTATGAATTTATTTTGCTGATTCCTTTATCCAAAGCTGCTTACAGAGGTTAGTTAACGTTCTTTACATAGAGATTTTGATTGATACAGCTGGGTTTGCTAGAGTCATATTGATGAAGTGTCTTGCTTAAGTAACTGAGATCTGAACCCATTTCCCTTCAGCTAGGAAGTCCAAGCCCTGCAGTTGGTCCACATTGGTGCTTGCTGCCTGTCTGTGTAACATTCTAAGTGATTCACCTGTTTCTGTATACGCTGCTCAGCTGTTCCAGCAAACTATTCTGACATGATGTCTGAGCCAAATGGAGGAAGGAGTGGTGGGGTGCTTCCCCGTTGTGGCACAGAACTGAATTTTGAAGCCTGGGAGGTGAATTAATCATCCATGAGTAGTAAATGTGTCTGCAAGGCTTACATATTTTTGCATTATCTAATGTTTTTCATCTTGTCTGTTTCAGCTCTGTGACACTCAGGATGAAGTTAACCAGGCTTTGTCAGGAGCAGCACTTGATGGCACAAGTATGTTTCGTTATGTCCTTGTTTTTATTAAAAAGGCATCTCTTATTTAAAGCCCCATGAGTTTTTATATCTATTCTTACTTTTGGAAATGTTTAATACCAGTCTGGACATCAAGCTGGTTATTTGTGGTGTTCTTCAAATAATAAACGAGCCCTCTTTTTTGTCATTCTCCTGCCAGCAGATGAGGAAACAGAAGAGCTTGAGAAGGAACTGAAGTCTCTGTTAGAGGACAGTGCTCCATGCGTTCCTCCTACTCTTCCTGAGGTTCCGAATAAACCCCTTAGCTCAGGTGGGGCTCCAGGTTTTGCTGAAGACAGCTTCCTGGCCTCCCTGCCGGATGTGCCAGATTCCCGGCTGAGCATTACTGACGAGGAGCTGGACAGAGAGCTGAGTAGGCTTACCCTCACAGACACAGGTTCACCCCTTTCCTAATCCCTCTGCCCACCTTTTTCTCTTAAATCCTTTTAAACTGATTCACTTTCTCTCTCTTCCATTATTGGTTATAAAATGTCTTGGTGAATCAGCTAATTTCAGAAAGGTGTCCCATAGGTAGTATTCAGTTCATTTTGAACTTGGTTGATTCTCTTAAAACTGATTGCAGCGATCTCTGGAGGAACTCTGTGATAGGTGATCCCTACCCCTTGCAGAGCAGAATATATAGATTGAGTGGCTTCATTACGTATAAACAGTACATATGCTTAATTCTAAAAGAATAAACAAGTTATGTGTCATTTTGGAATAGAATATGTTTCCACTCAGGCTTAAAAACAATGGGAACTTATAATTAAATATATCATGTACAGGCCTCAGTTAGAACATGAAATTAAAAAAAATACATTAATTATTAATTGCTTTGAGTCCCATTCGTTGTTACAGTAGCGTATGCATTAGTAGTTCTGTTCCCGTTATCTAGTGTTAACGTTTGCTTGTGGTCTTTCACAGCTGTGGCTAAGGAACACCATATCTCTCCTTTGAAAAGGCTGGAGCCAGCCCAGTGAAGAACTGAAGCACAATATTCATCCCAGCACTGTTGGCGCTGCACAGAGTCTCTGAATGGTGTCAGGGGGATGTCAAAGGGTCCTCAGAAAAGCAATCAATACAAACTCTGTCTTTTGTAACAGTTTCTGTTTGTAATGATTCATGTCCTTTTTTTTTCAATTTTTAAAAGTCCTTAATTGTGATGTTTTGACTGTAATGAACTTATATATACTGTATAAATATCATTATTATGTGACAGAACAGATTTGTCTGCTTCAGACTCAGAGTGCAGATTGCTGTGTAACCCTGTTGGTTTGTTTTCTGTGTTTATTTGCTGTAATTGTGAGTTCTACAACACAGATGGGCGCATAGTCTACTGTACATGAAAAAAAACATGATCAACTCCTGTCACTTATTAGACAAGGCTTTCGTAGAGTTAAAAGAAAAACAAATTAGACAGCAGACTTTATACCTTATCACCTGTAAAACACGTTTCATACTTTCTGAAATGCAAGAAAAACAAATACATTTTATATTTTAATAAATGTATTAAATGAGAATTAAATTACCTTTAGTGGGTTTTTTCCTATAGTCAGATGTTCCAAGGTGAGAAAATTCACTTACTGGAATTACTAAGAATCTGTAGAGTTGACCTTCTACCTGAACATGGACAGATTCCAGGCTTTAAGACGTACCATGCTTATTCTTCACTGTTGAATACTGTCAGGATATAAAACAGTTTTTAATGTTTGTTTAATGTTTAATATGTAAAGCATTGAACACCCCATCCCCAGAAGCTAGTTTACTTATTGTAGATAATAAGAAGTCTGAATTGGACATAAGTTAATGACAATTTTTTCCCATGGTTTTTGAACCTAACTTCCATTTTTATTCTTTTTATTTGTAATATTTGATTATTCTGATGTCCCATTTTTCATTCATGACTGATGATTAATTTCTAAAACTGTGAGCCAAATTTGGATGCTGCCTGAAATGTACCAGAGAAAGTTTGCAAAGAAAAGGACATTCAGCCCACATATTTTGTGTGGTTTCTAGCAGCCAAGTAATTGGATGACTTTATATAGCCTTTTGTAGAAAGAAATCACAGTATCAGCATTGATGAGATGAATGGATAGCTTGTTCCAGACACAATTCAGTGCTTGATAAATCCCCTCCTGTCCTCATGTTTAAATGCAGTTTGCACTTGTGTTCTATCGTTCATTTTCTCCTGTTGATGGTGAAAGGCGGGGGGGGGGGAGTTGTTAGCAATGCTGCCTTGCAGCACTGTGACCCTGGGTTCAGTGCTAGGCTGGGGGTGCTATCTGTGTGGAGTTTATATGTTCTCTCCCTGTTCAGATGGGTTTTGCCAGGTGCTCTGGTTTCCTCTCACAGTCCAAAGACTGGCAGGTTAATTGGCTTTTGGGAAAATGGTCCCTGATGTGAGTGTGTGTCCTGCCAGGGACTGGCATCCAACTTGGTCCCCATTGCTTGCTGAATGGTGTCCAGCTCTCCCATGATCCTGTATTCCATGTTAGTTTATTTGAAGTACTGTGTAGGTGACATGGCTACCTCTGAAGCTATTTGATCATTTCCTGTATGAACATACGGCACAGTTAGTACATATAACCTAGTACTAAACCCTCTCAAACCATCCTAGATTTCCTTTTGATAAATAAGTCTAAGTTATACAGTTTGGCGAATGGGAGAACTGCCACGTAAGCACGTCTACCAGAGATTGTCTTCCGTGCATCTACCTTCCCAATCGGCAGAAGCGTGTGTATAAGTACAGGCGAAAGCATACCAATAAAGTTTTTCAATATATAAGACGCATGCGTAGAGCATTATGTTGTAGTATTCGTATGATACGTTGATGGATTTTCTGAAAACGAGTTGAAAAGATAACCTTGGTTTATTTTAAAGGTTATGTTTTGAGTCTTCGTTGTTTTCAGCGTACACCAACAGGTAAACGTCAGTTACGTATAAAATTTGATTTGGTTAAGGTTACAACATTTTTAGTTAATGCACGAATAATATGCGGATATTATGTAACTCACTATTTAGTTTTTTGTATTTTAATTTGAAATCAGATAACGCTTTTTTTTTTCATTTTAGTTTTTTATCTGTTCTTGAACATTGGCAATGAATGTCACCGGTATCATCCAACATTTATAGCGACTAACTAGGAAACGACCATCTGTGTTCTTCATGTTGGCTCTGAAAGGCTCAATGTACAGTACTTAATGCCGGGTTGTTTCTTGAGCCAAAATGGTGGCAGTTTCTTAAAGTATGAGACAACTTTGCGTAGATCCGTAGAAACATTTGAGACGTCTCAAAGTGCATTGCGTAAGAGGAAGTTTGACATCAATGAGTGGAACCGCACCTGAGACGTAGCAGATGGGAAGTCGTACCTGGCAGTCCGACACATCAGCAGCGGCCAGAAAATAAAACCAGGTAAGAAAACAGTATAGTGAATTTGTAAAGAAGTTCTCCTTGATACAGTTTTTTTTAAAATGAGGCAGTAAACGCAATTGTAGTATATAAAGGTCCAGGCTATCGAGACATGGAAAAATGTATTAACTACAGCCGAAACACACACAAAAAAAGTGTTGCAATATATAGTTTAGCGCTTAGTGACGTAATAAGAGCTATACAGGTGTACGCAGATTAGCTGCCTGTGTTTCGGGTGTGCTCAAGTGTGCGGTAAGAGCATATCAGAGACTAACCGACAATCTGGTTGTGTTCGTTGAGGAGTTTAGGGTACATAGCGGATGAAGGTGATCTTCGCTATCTTCACCTCCCTGTGTGGGCCTCAGTTGTTTTGCATTCTCTTTTTGAAATTAAATATGGGAAAGCAATTAAAAACAATTGTCATCAGCTCTTTGTGAATGATTTTATTATGGCAATAGGATCCTCATAGTTCGAAAACTTGATCTAAAGCTTGTTAAAACCGCTTGGTTTCAGCACAAATCGCACTGTAGGTTACTTTTCGCTGACGGAATAAAGGTTTGATGGTCAAAAATGAAAGGCAGGTGAAGATTCTAAGTTTTATATTGTGTTTTTTCCTTTCCCAGTTTGAGAGCGGTGTCCTTCAGGTGGCAGTGTGTTCAACGTTCAACTTATAAGAATGCTCCGAGATATTTTCTCTACCCAAGCCTTTGGATTGTGGGTGACTTGGAACTAAGGAGACTCCCAAACATGGGGAGGTAAGTGTTATACACCTGGAGTCTATGCATTACCAGCCTACAGTACATATAGTGTATATATAATTTTACTTGTCTTATCCAGGATAAGATCTAAAAATACATTAAATGTAAGTTCTTAAAAACAGGGTATAGTAATGGAAAAATAACAATTTATAAGCAGCTCTTGTGGCTACCTTTGGTTCAGGATCAGTGTTAGATCTAGGGTTTTGACAGCATGGACAAAATTATTGTTTCCAAAGGCAAGTTACCAAGCTCTTCACTAAAAATCAAATGCAGAAATCATTCTGCGTTCCGAATTCAGAAGCGGAAACAGACTTGTAATTTGTCGCTGTAGTCAAATTCATTCTTCAAGTGAGGGCACTAGTGAAATAAAAAGTGGATCTACCATGGATGTTGAGAGTGCTCGGGTTGTACGCCTGATGGGTGCCAAGCACAGGAAGTTATGTCCCGCCCTAAATGCACATGTGTGAGTGGTGTGCACTCTCTCTCTTTTCCAGGATCAGTTTCTCCTGTCTCTTCCCTGCTTCCTGGCACTTCAGCCTTTCCCCTGTGGGCCTGCCTCGCCTGCCCTGCCTCTCTCTCAGGCAGTTCCTGTTCTTGGTGCTGCTGGTGGGCACACTGTGTGTGCTGTATCTGCTGCTGGTCCTGGGCAAGGGCAAGCACAGCTGGCTGCACAGGGACAAGCAGTTCCACAGGTGGGTGCCTTACAGCTGGCAGAGGGGAAGGGGGACTCAGTGGCCCCCGGGGATAGCAATGGACTCCCAGTGAAAAGCTGTATGAGACATTTCAAGTCCTTGAATAAACGGCATGCTCTTGTATACAGCCCAGTCCCAGGAATTGGATATTTCTGTTTTGAGTAAGTTTCTAGTTTTAAATGATCTTGAGGGAGAAAACTAATTTTAAGCCCAACTTAAAATTGTTCCCATTATGACTGCCAGACTGAAGTAAAACAGGAGAAGTGAGAGTTAAAAGTGGTGTGGATTTAGATACCTGCAACCTCAGCTTTAAAATATTTCCTACTGCTCTCCTGACTAGGAATACAAAGAGCGCACTGTTACACAGGACACTGATAGTGCTGCGTTGCCTAGCAGGTGAGCTTTGTATAACAGGAAGAAATTTCAGAAACGGGACCAAGTAACTTAATTCTATTGTAGTGCTTTTGTTTCACCTGTTATTGACCTTTTTTTTTTTTAAAGGGGGACTGCAGTTCCAATTTTTCAGACTGGATTTTAAATCTCGGGTAGCTTCGTTGATGTTAAAGAAATTTGTAATTTTTTTTCTAATTAATAAACCGTGGACTTTGAAATTACTGTAGGTTGCCAGGTTGTTGCAAACTCGCATTTGAGTGACCAAGAATAGCGACATGATACGGTCCTTCCTGCTTACTAGTCTCAGTAATGACTAATGTAATATGATGGATGAGTGAATAAAAACAGGTTGTGCAACAGGCTTTTCACTGCAGAAATGTTCCAACGTGATCTGCATGCAGAGTTAACAAGGACTATATGCGGGCAAAATCAAGGGCATTATTTCTATTGGATTAAAAGAGATGTATTCACCACCCTGCTTGTTTACAGTGTCATAGGGCCACTCGCATCACCCGAAGTTTTGTTGCCTCGTTCTGAATCGCAGAACATGGTTCTGCACATATCTAGGATTTTTTTCTATTTTGTGGTATAAATTGGACATCTTACAAGTTACTGTGCACATTTGACTTTTATTGTTGTTTGAAATGTACTTATCAATGCTGGTTCTTTCTAGCCCCAAAATATGACAATAGCATTGCCTCTCCCCTTGAAGTAATCTAATCTTTTTCACAAAAAGTTGTCTTTGCTAAGTCACCTGTCTTGTCACCTTCATTCCACCTTCATTCCATTGCCCATTGCACTAAACTGAAATGTATGTTTTGAATGACTTGCAGTGCAGTCAGAGGGCGGGCGATGCTATGGTTTTTTGCAATGAGGTCTTCCCCCTTCCAGCACCCCTGATCTCTGGCTGTGTGTGTCCATCTCAGGTATCTGGCCCGAGTGACCGATGTGGAGGCCACAGATACTGGGAACCCGAACCTCAATTACGGCATCGTGGTGGACTGTGGCAGCAGTGGCTCCCGCGTGTTTGTGTACTGCTGGCCCCGGCACAACGGCAACCCTCACGACCTGCTGGACATCCGCCAGATGAGAGACCAGAACAGGAAGCCCGTCGTGATGAAGATCAAGCCAGGTGGGACTGACCTCCCCTGACCCTCCTGTGCCCTGTGAGGGGGAGAAAAAAGAATAGTCAGTCTCCAAAAGTGGAATTCAGAGCATTCAAGAGGGGCAACATTCATATAAACATTATTTAAATACTGTAGGATTAATACTTGTTTTGGAACTTTTTCTTACAACTTTTTCCCCTGCTTAAAGAAAAGCGCACATCTTTAAGAGACTTCCAGGTCAAGCTGATTTTGAGCCTCTTCACTGTTTAATGGCCAGTTGAATAGGGATTATAGTAATTAATCAGGGACACTCCCAACCGCAGTGGATCAACTGAAACAAAAATAAGTTAAGTTTTTCTCCAGGTCTGTGAAGGTTATATGATTACCAGACCTGGAATGAAGTGCTTTAGAAACAAGTTTCATCATGCAAGTGACCAATTAAAAAAACAACAACAAAAAAACAGGAAAAAAGCAGTAATGTGATATGTCCTTCTTTGGGCTCTTTTGACTTTCTCCTCTACAACCTGAGCCTTTGGTTAGCATTGTACCTTCTTAACTACTTTTGGTCTTAGTGGTATTTCAATAATGTGGTCTCTTTTTGTGTTTGTTTGCAGGCATCTCTGAATTAGCCACAGCTCCAGAAAAAGCCAGTGATTATATTTACCCCTTGCTGAGCTTTGCTGCACAGCACATTCCCAAGAGCAAGCACCAGGAAACCCCTCTTTATATCCTCTGTACTGCAGGAATGAGAGTCCTGCCTGAGAGGTACTGCAAAAAAACTAACTGGTGTTGTAGCTGTCAGATGTCAAACACCTTTGTTAATCTTCTGCTTTAGCTGCTTGATTTCACATTGTCATACTTGCACCTTTCTGCCTTTTAATGAGCCTCTGTTGAGAACTACTGTATATTTTAAGTCTCAAAATGACTTATTTGTCATTTTATTTTCTCTGGAATGACGGTGCTGTCCTGTATTGCCTTGAATCCCAGAGTAGAAATGATGTTTTCAGCATCAGGCTGGTGTCTCTGCCAGTTTGCAAAGCTTACTGAGTGAGTGATTCTTGTGTAGCCTGATCACCAGTCACATGATTATCAGGATAAGTGTTCAGCCAGATTCACTGTAAAGTATAAAGCTGTCTCCACATCATTTAAATCCAACTGTTTCTTTGGTCTAGTGGTTAAATGATCATTTTTAATGTATTTGATTAACAGACATAGTACTAAGAAGACTTCTCATGTAGGAAATTCACTAAATGTTATTTTTCCTAAGAAGCATTTTGCTCCGTGGTTCTATTCATAAGTTGCCAAGAATGGAGATCTGGACACTGATACTGTGTCATGATTTGCAGTCAACAGGAAGCCCTGCTCGAAGATCTGCGGACTGATATTCCCGTGCATTTCAACTTCCTGTTCTCTGATTCCCATGTGGAAGTGATATCGGGGAAACAAGAGGGTGAGTGTGATGTCTGGTAGTGTTGCAGGTATTGCCTAGAATATTGTGGTAGGAACTGAGTAAATGGTTATTAGTACACTGGTACAGAATAAGAGAGTGCACTCTATAGCTGTGCTTTTTCTCTTAACAATATCAATGTAAAGAATATAATCAGGACCCCTGTACAAGATAATGGTGGTGGACTGGAAGGATCACATAATGAGCAGCCCACCACAAGTGTATTTTTTTTAATAATGCATGCATATTTCAATCCATCCTGAGAAGAATAAAATATGGAATTCAAAACTTTTTCAGACAAAAGCTAGAAATGGAACACGTATATCAAATATTATTTTAGCATGTTTAATATTTAATATGGAATGAAGCATCAGGGAAAAGAAATACTTTACCTTCCAAAAAAAAGAGTAAGTCCTAAAATGTCGTTAATCCATCTGTCTTTAAAAGGTGTCTATGCGTGGATTGGCATCAACTTTGTTCTTGGAAGATTTGATCACATAGAAGATGGTAAGTATCAGGAATATTTTTATTTACATTTTTTATTTAATTTTTTTTTAGAGCTGTTTATACAGAAATAAGCTGAGGAGAGACTACATAAACTGTGGAGCTAAATATTGACTTATTAATGTTCTGATCCTTAAAGTTGAGTATTTTCAATTCTAGTTTCAGATGCAGAAAAAGGTAAGCAAAAGTCTGAGAAAGCAGGCAGATGAATTCAAGGCATCAGTTAGCATGAGTAATTACTAGTTCAGCTAGTTGAACCAAAGAACCAGTAGACACTGGGGTTCCACAGGACTGTGACTGCGCACCACTGAGCTGTAGTCAAGAGTTGGCCGTTCTTGGTACAGATGGTTCTATTTTATTTAAACTCTATTGACACAAATGCTTTTTTTTTTACTAAAAACATTCTACATGCTAACAAATCTTTAACGTTCCACCCCCTTTTGACCCCCTTCCCTCTTTCTGTCTCTACTGCAGAAGAGGAGGCTCTAGTGGAGGTGCAGGTCCCTGGCAGTGACCACCAGGAGGCGCTAGTCCGCAAGAGGACAGCAGGTGTGCTGGACATGGGAGGTGTCTCCACGCAGATCGCGTACGAAGTGCCCCAAACTGTAAGCTTTGCCTCTTCACAGCAGGTTATTATCCACACCACTTTTCCTTCTTTTGTGTTTTTTTATGTTTGGCTTACTCCATTTTATCCTACCCCACCCTTGTCCCAGCCCGTTCCTGAATCTCTCCCCCCCTCCCTCCCTCGCTCTGGAGTGTAGCACCATCTTCCCCTGACAGTGGTGACAAGGGAAGGGCTAACCGCAGCCTGCAGTGTCCGCTAAGCAGAGTGCATGACTGGGCTTGCAGTTTGGCCACTGATGAACACAAAAGGCTGTCACGGTTAATCTGATTCTGTTTGAAAATGAGGTGTTGTATGAAACCATGCTCAAAGTGGATTTACTTTAACATAGAAGCATGATTACCTTATGACTAAAGACCTTGCCTATACAGAACCTTTCTGTCATTCTAAAATGACACTGCAGTTTCACAAAACAAAAGAAGAAAATGCACAGCTGAGGCTCTGCATCCTAAAGAATTTGTGATGATATTAGTGTTCTCTTTTCATCATAGGTAAATTATTAACGCAAATGGTGGCATGGATTTTGTAAAATGGCATCTTATACTTCTCAGGTTAAGATTGATGATGTCAAGAGAATTTGTTCTCTGAATTTGCAGCATTAGCTAAGGTTGCCACCATCTCAAGCAGAATACCGGAAAGTATCATCGGAAGTCCCCACTTGCATATTGGCCTGTGTTTCCTGAGATTGCATTAACCCAATAGAGGGATGTGATCTCTTTTTAGATTGCTTGCAGTGAGGAGTGTTTCATCGTTATGATTTATTTTTTTAAGTTGATTTGAATCAAAAATTTCTCTGTCAACTTAACAGTAGGCTAACTTTTATTTTAAACCCAGCAGCATGAGAAAAGCCACCTGGTTAAATCAACTTTGTATTGTCATGTTGCTACAGAAGTATTGTCCTATTGGACCAGTCTAATAGTGAACTCATCATAGCCCAACAAATTCGGAAAAAAGATGCATAGTTATACACTAGAACACAACTAACTGGCTTAAAATCTGTATAAATTAATGCTGACTCCTCTATCCAGGCACAAGCCAGCGTCTTGATCCTGTGTACCATGAGATCTTTTTGACTTCTTGAAAATAGTTTTCTCTATATGTATCTTGTAAATAATGGATAATTGAAGAGGATGCTTACCTACTAATACGTGGTTAATAGACGTTTTTGGGTTTGATTGAAGGCACCCACGTTAATGGGAGGTTGGGCAAGGGGGAGGGGATTCATGCGCTGATATTGAACCTCTTGCAGGAGGAAGTGGCCAAGAACCTGCTGGCAGAGTTTAACCTGGGCTGCGACGCACACCGCACAGAGCATGTGTACCGTGTGTACGTCTCCACCTTCCTGGGGTTTGGGGGTAACGCAGCCAGGCAGAGATACGAGGAGAGCATCGTGAGCAAGACCTTAATGGAGAACAGGTAAGCACAGATCATTAGTGCTTTCTACCAGTGGCTGGCAGACTTGGCACTAACTGCTTCATTTCCTGTCCTGAAGGAGTTCAATCCCAAGAGTATTTTATTCTCTGAATTTGCTACAAAAACTTGCTAAGTTTGAAGTGCATTATGCTGGTAAATAACATCTTACTTTCCTTGCTGCAGTTATTTCAGTTTCCTAGCTGAATGTTTAACCTAATTCTTGAGATGGTGAAGTTCTTTGACCTCCTGTGAACAGTGCCCAGCTACCTTGAACAGAGATGTCACCTCCTGGAGTTTTAGGAGTGTCCAGTCTTTAACATCGTGTTCTGGGTGTCCTCCTTCTCCTCCTCCGTCAGGCTGCTGGGGAGACACGTGGGCGAGTCGTCGGAGACTCCTTTCTTGGACCCGTGCCTGCCGCTGGATCTGGAGGACAAGATCGAGCATGGAGGGCAGAGCCTGTTCCTGCGGGGCACTGGCGACTTCGACCGCTGCCAGCTGGTCCTGCAGCCCTTCATGAACAAGACCAATGAGACCCAGACCTCTCTCAACGGTGTCTACCAGCCACCCATTGACTACCAGAATAGCCAGTTCTATGGGTTCTCGGAGTTTTACTACTGCACTGAGGATGTGCTGCGCATGGGCGGCGATTATAACGCCACCAAGTACTCTCGTGCTGCCAAGGTACAGCTCCTGGTCATAGTCCCATAGTGACTTCTGAGAAAGGGTTCAGTCCTAAAGCTGTGGACAGCGACCCTAGTCCTGCACTGCAGTGAGTCACAGGATCAAGGAGTAGAGACCCAGAAGATGTATTTATTCAGTTATTTCACGTTGATGTGTGTATTAAGTGCTTAGTGCTTTTTTTTTGTTGCTAGTTTGAATTTACAAGGAATTCAGAAGAACATATCCTCCCAGCATCAGTGAAAGGGTATAGTTATTCAGCTTGAATAGCTTGTCTGTTCAGGAATGAATTGGAAAAAGAGTGTAAAAATGTAAACTCAAATGTAGATCTGGCCATCACACAAAGAAAGTAGCAAGGCAGTGTAGTATTAAACGAATGTAATAAGAGACAAAAGGTAAAAGTACTGTTTGTACATGAGCACATTCTGATTAAGACTTCAGAGTACATTGAGTTACATGTTTAATTTAATCCCGATAAGTGGAGTCAAGCTGTTGATATTTTTCAGCCTGCAATGTTTTACTTGACATTCTCTTTTTTTCCCCCGTAGAGTTACTGTACCACCAAGTGGAAAACCCTGAGGGAGAGGTTTGATCGGGGTCTGTACGCCTCTCATGCAGACCTGCACAGACTTAAGTAGGTCTTCCAGTGGCTGTTAATCTTTTTACAAACATCATGTTCAAGTAAAACCAGTTGGCCCTCCCAAAGTGAAGGTTTTGAAACGAAGACAATACTCTATAACACAGGTGTTGTTCGACTTTCTATGGTTAATTAATTCTTTTCAGTTGGGACCCCTGTTCTTAATGAGCATTAACATTTTTTTAAAAGATAATAAGCCTATGATTAAAAGCCACCCTTTAGCACAACAGTTTCACAATAAACTCGTTTAGGCACTTTCTTTGGGAAAGGTAATAACGAAGTTAAATTAATTCATTCAGAGATTTGAGTTTTGTTTCGTTGTTTTAATTGCATTACCTGTGAAAATCCTTTAGGATTTTAAAGATCCCCACTGACATAGCTCTTAGGTTATGCAGCCCCACGCGTCTTTCAGGAAGGTAGTCCTTTCAAAATGATTGTTGTAAGACATCCCTTTCCTTCTTCAGGTACCAGTGTTTTAAGTCAGCTTGGATGTACGCAGTGTTTCACTTGGGGTTCTCCTTCCCAACGGAATACAGAAACATGAAGACAGCCCTGCTGGTCTATGACAAGGAGGTGCAGTGGACCCTGGGTGCCATCCTCTACAGAACACGGTTCCTTCCCTTGAGGTAAAGGGCACTGCTCAGTTTAGGTTTTATGGCTAAATGCAATCTCTCTCTTGCCCACATTTTAGAACAAAAAGCTAATATTTTTTCTTGCAAGTGGGTTTCTTCAGTATGCCCTGAGGCTGTGTTTTAAAGCACCATCTTGAATGATTTACTGATGTGCAGTGCTCTACTGCCATCTGTTGGAACATGCCATTCCAACACATTGTCCTTTGTGGACTGAATATGGAGGTCCCACTTATAGACCCCTTCCAAATCTCCGGCATGATAGAATGTTCTTTCCCTAAATGTTAAGGAAAAAAGAAAGCTGTGAATTAAGCACACAGTGTCCAGTCCTGCTCCTGGAAGGCAGGTGTGATACAGATATTCCCTAAACACCTATATTAAACCTACATTTATTCCCTAAATACCTCTTAATGAACTGAACCAGCTATTTACTGGCTTAACTGCAATTTAAAAGCTTCTCCCACCTCTTCAGTTGGTGCTGTTCTAAATACCCCTTGAAAAGCTACAAGTCCTCCTTTACCAGGATTATACAGCGCTGCATTAAGCACAGCAGGTTGGCAATTAAACTTGTGCATTAATGTTTATGTTTAACAAGCTTCCACTTCTGCTTCCTTCTTGTCTGACTGTATCTAGAATTCACAAGTGGACTCATTACTTTTTCCCTTATTGGGTTTAAGAACTGTAGAGTCGCTCAGACACCAAAGGCCACATTTGCTGTGTTGCATTTGCCATAGTGTGTCTGTATTATGGTCTTTCGCAGGGACATCCAGCAGGAGATCCTGAAGGGGGCGCACTCTCACTGGAGAGGAAGCTTCACCTTCGTCATCAATCACTATCTCTTCCTGGCATGTTTCCTAGTAGTGCTGCTGTCCATCCTCCTCTACCTGCTCCGCCTGCGGCGAATCCATCGTCGCATGCTGCGCAACGGGCTCTCCTCCTCTTCCTCATCTTCCACGCTGTGGCTAGAAGAAGGGCGGGGTGCTTCCGCGATCCCCGTCACTCTCTAAGACCCCCGCTCAGGTACAGGGGTTCAGCCAGCGTGGCCTTGAGAGATCCAAGCCTTCGCAAGAAGAAAAGAACAGCTGCTTTTCAAAGTATTGACCCCCAACACCGGAGATCTCACGAGGGTCCGTTTCCCTGGAGCAGACCACCAGTTAATGTGATAACACTGCCCTGGGCTCATGGAATGCTGAAGACTGCATAAATAACAAGCTCTACACTGCTGGGATGGAACAGGACTACTACTAAGTGTTGTGTTTCATTCTTTCGATAAAGTAAGCAATGTGAAATTTTTTTAATGTATTTATATATTGTGAAGATTAAGTCAGTCTTTTGTTTCTTTTCCATCAATACATAAGCAAAGCAAACAACAGTCCAGCAGTCGACTGTCTGCCACCCTGCACGCACTCCCCACCCCCCATCCAAAAGATAAAGAGGGTGCTGACAGGCTGTGTGCCCATGTGAGAGCACGCAGTGCAGTGACTTGGGAGGATTGGTAAACGAGCAGAATAAGCCTTGAGTTGGCTTCAGTTGTGTAATTTTCACGAGATAGTTGCAAAGCAGTAGTGTCCGTCCTTAACTAAATACAGGTTTTGAATGCTAACAAAAAGCGCTGTGCGAGTATTAAACCTGATTTAAAAAGTTAAAATCTTTGCTGCTAAGCCAAGCTTTTGCGAATGGCTAACCGATTACCAGTAAGAGTGGACTGCTGCACTTTATCCTTGTTCCCATTATGACTGCCAGAAATAAAAAGTCCAGATCTGTGCAGCAAGATTGCTGCAAGACTATCATTTTTATTTGGTCATTTGCACCTTAATATTTGACGTTCATAGCCCATTTTAAATAGCGTTTTTGTGTGGGATAATGTGATCCGCCTGTAGCATTCAGAGTTGGCTAATGGAGGGAACATCAGAGCACATGGGGTTAAATCCTGGAAGATCAGCCTTTAAAAAGAGATTGAAACCCACAACTCAAAAAATGAAACTAAAAATGAGAAGATTTCATCCTTTTAAGGGTAAATTGAAATTAATCTTTAAAAAAATCACACACAGTATAGGATTTCTGATGGCCTGGGACAGATTTGAGTTGACAGTTTGCATTGTGCAATAATTTCTTTTTTTAGGTGGATACAAGGAAAACCAACTCACTTTCTTGATACTTGAAAATAAGAGAGACTAATAAAAGACAGCAAAAATTGTGCAGGTCATCAGTGTTAATCAGGTGAAAGCAGATGTATGCTACTTATGTATATACTGTCACAGCCAGTTCAGGACATTTTTTACCTACCTTCTTAAATTTTCAGTTTCTCTCATTGCAAATATGTTTGTGTTACAGGAAGGCAGTTAATGCACCCATCATCATTTAAAAATGCACTGCTTATAATTATATTTTTAGATATAAATATGAGACATACACCTGTATTTAAAAAGTAGGAATTTAGAACGCTGAAATAGCTACATCAGGCAATACCTGATGTAAATGTTGAGTATTTTCTCTTTATGCTGCATCTATGTAATTACATGCTGCTTCATGCATGTAATTACACATTTCAGGATTGGATGTATTTGACCTTGATTTTAAAACACTGAACAATATAATACACTGTCACATTTGAAACTTGACTTTTACGTTATTTTTAAGGTCAAATATTTCTGACAACGTTTACTTCAACTTTATTTTAAGAATAAGGTACACCAGATTGGTTTAGCCTTCCTGAGAACATTTTTAAAAGACCGCAATGATGATTATTTAAAGTTTGGAGGCATTCATGATTTATTTTAATCATACTTTTTCTTGATTTTGGGTTTCAGTGTGTAATTTGAAAAAAAAAGATTTTAAAGAGATGTTTAACTGTTAAAATCTGTAAATAAGAGGATTGAACCTTAATTGCCATCAGGCTTATCTCCTCACAAAAATCCTCTTCCGTTCACTAGTTTTAGCTAAGTGCTTAATTGAATACAAAGGTATGTTGAAAAGTGAAATAGATTCCTCATTTTTAAAATGACTAGCGGCACATGGTTTTCATGTATTTGCCTGGAGCCGACAACTTGTGATCTGTACTTCAGTTGAGACTTTCTTGAAACATAAGCTTTCTTGAAAATGTTCCATCTGTCACCTTATGGTTTTGAAATGCGGATTCTTTTATTCCTTAGTTCAAGATTTTGCAGTGGCCTTTCAACCGATAAAAATTCAAGATGCTTGTCACGGTTTCAGAAGCGTAGAATGTAGCTTACAAAGCATACAGGCGTTGCAATTGGGGCAGAGTTGAAGAACTACAAATCGCCCTGGGGTAATGATGTAGCCAAAGACTTGAAACCTTACTGTAAATAAAGGTGATAAGGATCTCCATGGGAGAGAGGTGTTAAATGACCGCTTCTCTGCTGCAAAATACAGGAGTTTGCTCCATCACAGTATGACGGTGGTTTTTAAAATGGTGCGATATGAAACTAGGTTTAAAAAAATTGAGGGGAATTTCGGGATGGCCTGCAGTTTGTTCAGATTAGTTTGTTTTTTTTTCCATAATGCAAGCATGCTAACTGGTGCCCTTGTGAAAAGTGTTGCTTTTGTGTTTTGTGGAACTAGGCTCTTGTTAGCCATTTAACTGGAAACACAAAGAAAATGAGAGGAGACCGTTTGGTCTGTCTAGGTAATTGGTCTCTACCTGTGAAGCCATGTGAGAAAATGATCATCTGTAGTCTGACTTCAGATCACTTTGACTAACTCTGTCGCATGTCATTCTTAATTTTAAGTTGGCATGCTGTCAACTCAAATCCAGTTTTTCTACTATTAATTTGTCATTGATGTATTTTTCCACTTTGATAAATACTGGTGAAATAATATAACTTTCAACTTTTCACTGTCTTTTTTCATGAAAATCAGAAGTGCCAGGATTGCTCTGTCTTCATTTTGTACCAACAAGAATGGTTGAAAGCAGCTGGTGTGTCACAGTCACTCGGATCTGAGGTCCATTAGAACTGGTTAGCAGCAAATGTAGCTGAGATGACAATTAAGTCCTGCTGCAGTAATCTGAGATGTTGTAAAACTTTATATAAATTCTTATAGAGCGGTAAGAGTAGTGTATTCTCATGTGGTAGAGCTGTTCTGATTTGAGTTGGTCATTTTTATCAAATGATAAATAACAACGAACACTGTCTCCTTATGGGTCAAAATAGTCTGACAGCCATGATGCCTTATCCTTGCAGCAGGGCAATAAGGGGAGAGAGAAGGAGCAGAGGTGAATGTGAGTGGGTCACGGGGAGTCAGCTGTGATCCTGCAGGTCTTCAGAGACTTTCTGGACTCGTTTCATCAGGGCTCTGTCACTTAACCAGTTTGCTAAGTTGATCTGTAGCCATTGGCAATCTAAAGATACCAGCATACCTGCAGGCTTATGTTCCTCAAAGGCTTCGGGATTTAACCTTTCGTTTAGAAGATAAAACAATGGCTCTTCATGGGTTTTTGTGCACTTCTGGTTATCTGAGATGTATCACACAAGCAGTCTTTTTCTCCATATGTGGTATAAGCACCCCATAATTCAGTATCTTTTGACATATGCTGCTTTCTTTGAGGTCAGGCCTGAGGTGTAGTGGTGTAGTGCAGTGATAGTAGTCTTTGTTTATCTGGGAATGTACTGCCAATGACCTACCCTTTGCTAGTGCTTATTTCTAGTGAAGCTGTAACTGTTTGTTTTTTGTAAGCTGTTTCTCTCTGATGAAATGGCAAATCAAGTTGCTAATTCATCACCTAAGCCTGAACTCATTATCAACCCCTGATTTGGTTTAATGCCTTCTGTGTATTCTAATGCAGATGTAAGATAAGTCTGGTATTTTTTTCTCTTTTTTTTTAAACTGGACTTGGCTTCGTTTTCTGAAGCTCCGGTGTACTTTTTATGATGCACATATTTCTTTTTTTAAATAGATGCCATATTTATAAGAAATTGTACATCTTAATTTAAAATAGTTTTCACAAAGAACAGTGATGCCATTGTTCAGACTGAGCATTTGTGTTGCTGTAAAAAAATAAAGTGAATCTGTCTGTGTACCATGTGTTTCTTTTCACATCTGGAAATCTCCCTCATGTAGCAGAGTGGAACAACCACATTTATTGCATTCCATAAAACAGTGGAATCTATAACTGGTTCGGCAACAAAGCTGGTAAATAGTCCAAATTCTTAATTGCCCTAGGCTCTAATATTTCATATGACGTGGACAAAAAATTAGGTATACATATGATTTTCTACGGCTACCAACCATCTGTAAGGTGGTTGGCAAAACTGAGAGGCTCAACATCTAAATGTGTTTTCTTCTAGTGTGGATGGAGCTCTGCAGCCCAGAAGAGCAGATTGAATTCTCAGCTATTCCACACTCTAGCAGGGCAGCAGAAACACACCACATTCAGTGCGCCACGATTGTAGGGTGAAAGCTCTTCAGCTGAGGGCAGGCTCTTCTCTCAGTGACTCCTCTGCTCTTCACTGCAAGGCACCTGCAAGCGTTCAGGGATGGGTGTGAGTCGATTCGCAGGTAGAGGCAACCCCAGCAGTCAAGCAGCATGGCACTTGCGGCGTGCTGAGATGGTTGGTAGGGGGCCTGTCAGTCCTTCCTTCTCCTCCCTGTGCAGTGCAGGAATCGCTGCTGTAACCAATGTAGGAGCCAATTCATATTTCCAAACAGGGAAGATACAAAAGGCAAAAATAAAACTACAGTGAACTTCTCGATCTTATGCAGAATTGTACAGTAAGTGGTGAAAGAGGCCAGTTAGATGTCTTTGAAATAGGATGCAACATCTTTAAGAATGGTTTGTCTTTTTGTTTTTGCCTGTTTTAGGTTTCTTGCAAAGATACTCAAGACAGGAATGTAGAAAAAAATGGCTTTGCCCATCTTTATTTCGTTACCAGCCTGGTAGGGTTGATTTTTGGTTAAGCGAGTCAGGCTGTGATCGAGAACAAGAAATCATTAAGGTTTGGCCAGTTTTCAGACTGGAAAATCCTGTTTTATGAAGTAGTGTTAACAAGCAAATGCCTGGGGCTTTTATGTGCTGTATTTATAAGTTTGCAGATCATAGGAGTTAAAATCAAAGGATTCATATTTAGCCTATTTAAAAAATATATATATTTGCAGTGGAAGGGAAACCTGCTATCTCGCCGCCTTTCTGCAGGCAGAGAGAGAGAAGCTGGAAGCTGAAGGTGGGCTTAAAAAGCAATCTCTTTCACAGGAGCCCTCAGCTGGTTTGGGCCCAAAAGTATACATTACCTGCTTCAATAGATGGCAGTTGATGACTATTTTTTTGTTGTTGAGTTAAAGCGCTCCCAAATTCCCAAGCTTTCACCTGTGGGCTTTCTTTCAAAGCCCCGACTTGTCTGTTTGTGGTGGTTTTGCATGTTTCCGGTAGGGCCTCTTACTCAGGTCGACACTAAACCCACAGGACGTGCAGACAGGGGTGGGGTAACGACAGCAGTTGGGGGCTTTGACCTCTCTGTAGATGTGCAGTGAACAGTGGGTTACAGCCACTTTCCTCTGTCACTCAGCAGCATGTTTTCACTTTGTGTTGTAGCTGTTAACAAGTAGGTTTCTTGAATCCGTTTGGCAAGAAACTGCTCAAACAAGCCAAGGCTGTATTGCAGCTTCAGAGCTGTGTGCATGATGGACCCACAGACAATGCCTTTTTACTGCCGCCTTATGATTATAAAAAAGAGTGTAATTACCAATGGATGTGGACTCACCTAAAAGTGGAGCAGCAGACTTTGAGTGGAAAATGATTTCAGTGTGCTTTGGCTACAAAGGAACAAGTAGAGATCAATTCCAGGCTGAAAGGCAGAAGAAACAGCGTTTGAATCGCCGTTAACGCCGTTTGAATCGCGTTCTAGCCGTCATGCGTTGTGGAAAAGTGCTCACTAATCACATTGTAGCCAATTCAGGTTATGGAAACCCATCATAGCAGAATCACTGTAATTAACTCTCCTCCACCACCAATGTGTAGCCCCCACCTGGGTGATGCGACGGCAGCCATAGTGCACACAGTACGCTCACCGCCCACCAGCTATCAGTGGGGAGGAGAACAGAGTGATGAAGCCATTTCATAGACAGGGATTATTAGGAGGCCATGATGGGTAAATGCCAGGGGGAAATTTGGCAAAGACACTAGGGGAACAGCCCTACTGTTTTTGAGAAATGCCCTGTGATTTTTAATGACCATGTAGAGTCAGGACCTTGTTTTTATGTCTCATCTGAAGGACGGTGCCTTTTTACAGTATAGTTTCCCCACCACTATACTGGGGCACTAGGACCCACACAGACAACAGGGTAAGTGGCCACTACTGGTCCCATAACACCTTTTCCAGCAGCAACCTTAGCTTTGCCAGGAGGTCACCCATCCAGGTACTGGCCAGGCTCACACCTGCTGAGCTTCAGTGCATTGCCAGTTGTGAGTTTCACAACTGTACTTACTTTAGTACTGTAGCTGGGAGCTCAATATGTTCACCTGAGAGATGATAATGAGAATAATGTTAGGTGAAAGATGTTTCTAGGCATTTCTTTATCTCAATGTTTTGAGATGGCACAAATTAGTTTTTGGTGCAAATTAAGATGCTCGTGTTCACCAGGCTGAATGTACCATTGGCAGGTCAGTGGTTGGGAGAGAAATCTTACAGAAATATTTGTTGGCTTTCAGCTGTGACACTGACACATTGAAATTAGATACCAAAAACTCACACCAAGAGTTGCAAGGTTTGCAGCGTTAAATATGGAATTTGCATATCCCACGGTGCCCGTTGTAGGACCAAGGGTCTCTGACTTAGTTGCAAAAGGTTAAAGGTTGCTTGAATGCAGTTTGCTCATTTATATCCCCCCTGTTCTGAGGTAACACAAAAACCATCTGTCCCCCTGACTCTTTCACACTGTTCTCATTGGCCAGTTCAGGATTTCAGCACAGCTTTACTGCTGTTTCCATTCTGTTACAGATGTTTTACTTTTCCCAGCTACTCCACTGTTAAAGGGTGACATTCAGTGGTTGAATGTATGAATCCGTGGTCGGACTAAAGTCCTACAATAGAATAGAATGGAAGCTGCAAGTTTGCCTGCTCTCAGCTCTTGCGGTTAGGTCAGAAGATACTTGGCAACTTCAGTCAGACGTCAAGGAAGAAACAAAAAAACACATTTTTCACTTTCACCACTTCCTGAATTCACATAGACAATCCATTTCACAGGGCTGTGTTCTTCTGGGTCCATTGAAGTTTTAAATCAACAGACATATTTATTTTAAATCAACAGACATATTTTTAGCTGTGCACTAATAGTACAAGCCCTTCCGGCCTGGCAGTTAATTGAGTCCCAGTCGGAGCGCTGTGGAAGGAAGCAATCGGGAATACTTCATCGCAGACGGACACAATGCCCACCTCACCCTCAGCACAAGTAGCTGGCCGTTTGTCTTCATCAGTCACGCCATTAAAAGGGTTCTCCACAGTAGTAAAAAAGGCTTTGTTTTGGTAGCCGGGCCTGTCTCAGTTGATGGGTGGCCTCGTTCCCCATCATCTCTGGGTGTTTTGTTTGCAGTCTTGCTGCCCGACCCCTTGTCTCAAATTCCACCACAGCGGTGATGAGCCTGATGAGTGATGGTCTCAACAGGAATGAGCCCAGCCCCTCCCAGACCCCGTCGCCAAGGCAACGATCAGGGCCCTGATTGCAATGGGTGTGGGGAACACAATGACAGGCCACTTTCTCCACGGCTATGTGCTCTAGTCTTCACAATTGTTTCTCAGGTCACTTGGTGAAATTGTGTTTTTCATCCGGAGTGAGCTTTCTTGTTCTTTTTTTTTTCTTCTTGGGTATAGTGCTTTGCTTTACGATTGTTTAGAATTTACACACACCTTAACCTGGTGGATTTGTGTATGTTTCTGTTATGTTGATCTGAAGGATTTTTTTTCCCCATTTTATTTTGATTTTATAAGTTGTTGTATTAACCAACACGAAGAGAGAGGCTGTGGCAAACATCAAGGAACTTACCAGATATGATTGCTTTGTTGTTAACCTTCCTCTGCCTTTTCTATGTATATACTGTATACTGTAAAATACAGCTTATTTTTTTATCTTTATCTTTACAGATCATTAAAATGTAGATATGAATTTCATTTAATTGTACATATCTATGTTGGGGTAGCACAGTGGTACAGTGGTGAGCATTGCTGCCTCATAGTGCTGGGGTCCTGGGTTCACTTCCAGACCTGGGGTGCTGTCTGTGTGGAGTCTGTATGGTTCTCCCTGTGCTTATGTGGGTTTCCTACTGGTGCTCCGGTTTCCTCCCACAGACCAAAGACAAGCTTGTAGTTAATTGGCTTCTGGGAAAAATGGCTCTGGCGTGAGTTTTTGTGTCTGTATGTGTTTGTGTGCCCTGCGATAGCCAGGCATCCCATCCAGGTGTGTCCTGGGTAAGCAGGTTAGAAAAAGGATGGATATCTGTGTCGTTTCTTTCAAGATACGTAGTCTTAAACTATACAATTGGTCCTAGAAAATGGTGGAGCAAAGTTTCTAGGCCAAGAAAGCCTTCGAACTCAGTCTGTAGGTCGGATGAAGTAGACAGATTGAAGGCTGGGGCTTTGTCACGCTTCCCAGTGCTAATCATGTTTAAAATAAACAACAGCAATTAGTTCAACAGGCCGACTGCCAAGCAGACAGGCAGAGCCAGGGTCTCAGTGGAGGTCATTAATCGAGCACGTTGAGGGACTGGAGACGAGGGGCTGTCAGAGGCGGGCCTGCCAGCCCCTGACCTCCCTGAACACACCTGGCCTGAGATCAGCCGGTGTTCAGCCACAGTCCTTCAGTTCATCATAAGGCTCCTACTTACGCAGGGATAACAGTACTAGCAGTCTGTTTTTCCTTGTATCCATTAATTGTTTTTATTTTTTTCTTTCTTTTGTAGACTGAAATGGCACAATTAAACAATTCCCTTCAAAGAGCTGATCTGGATCCCGGAATATTTATTGCAGGTACCAGCTACCACTAAAACTCTCTGGACTGGTCAAGAGCGTCCCAGAAAGCAGGCACTAGTGA